GTAAATGTAATCAGTATGTTTGTTTCTCGTTTTAACTCCATCTGAAGAATGAATTTTGGCACATACGGAGACGCCGTCAATGCCATCACCTACAAATTCACGTTACCTCATTGCTGTCCCATCCGAAGGACCAGTCTACACATTCAACAGTGCAGTAGTCAAACCAGCAACAAAAGAATCAACTCCTTACTCCTTGACTCTAGAGTAGACTGATGCTCTAACCACTGCGCCACGCGGGCGACGTTATCATTGAAAGATTTGGAGATAATGAACAGTTTTCCAGATAAAAAGTCCATGAAACAAGACAAAACAGGAGCAGAACAAACACGGACCTCCGAAACATCGGAGGTGGGATCAGGTGCCATGGAGGAGTGAGCATCCCTGCCGACCAGTAACGCCCACCGTGTGCTCCTTGTCATGATCGGTAAATAACGGGAAAATCCTTGGTAATTTTAGTGTATAAATAATGGACTAACAATAATCAAAACGTAAGCATTTGACTCAATGATAAATTGTATTTGCTGACAAGGTCATTGTATCTATAGATAGAGCTTACGAAATGATGACTTTAAACAAGACTGCTGATATGAAATATGGAGATAACAATGTTTTTTTTTAATATCTCCAAGCTGATTTGTTATGCAAGAGTATATACTACGTACAAACAATGTCTAAAAAAAAAAATACAAGCTATAGACCAAAAAAAAAAAAAAAGATGAAGAAAGGTTATTAATAATTGCTCTTTTAGTTCACATTTTGCAAATTCTATGATTGATACAATGAGTTCATGAAGAAAGGAATTCTATAATGTATTAGTTGAAGTTTGTTTGAAATTTATCATACAAATGATTAGTCCATTATTTTTACACTGAATTTTCTACATTGTGCACATATTTCCGTTTTCTTGAACATACAATAAACAAACGGCATATGGGATTGGCTGATAAGGAATGCTTACTTGCATTTGATGGTACCTGATCCTTGCTTTAATGTTTTCAGAAGTCCTTGTTTACCTTTAATCCATATTATCATTGTTTCAGGTGACTCTAAAATTTAATTGGATTGACTTTAAATTCATCATGTTTATAATACAGTTTTGTTTTATGGTTTTAACTAACGCTTTTTCATAGTTAATACCAAAATCGAAAAAAAAAAAAAAACAAGAGGCCCACGGGCCTTATAGGTCACCTGAATAACATGTAACAACTATCCAACAACTGAATTTGGTTTGACTATTTTAAACCAAAAGCCTTGAAATTCACAATTTTGAAAGAGGCACCATTTTTTTTTATCATAACTATACATTTAGCATGCTTATTTTGGTTACTTAATACCCAAAGGCAGATCAGAGTAACAGAGAAAAGAAGCATTTTACTTTATAACCACCAGTTGTGCACACCAACCCAGAGGAACCATTGACCCTGGGACCACGGATTTCAAAATTTTGGAAATTGTATCAATTTTATTTCATCAGAAATGGGTGATTAATATCAAAGAGCAGATTTAGAACTATTACTTTATTTTCAGACTTATACGTAACAACCCCCTCTTCAATATCCCTGATGCAGGCGCCCTGAAATTAACCATTTTAGAAGAGGCACCTTTCTTCATCATAAATATATATTTAGATCATTGGCATTATACCAAGGAGCAAAGGAAAAGATTTCAAATCCAGGCTTTTTGATATCATTTACAGTGGCTTCTTCAATAAAAATGGAACTCGTAAATTTACTTACTTCGTCATTGGTCATTTGCAAAATTATTTTGTTAAAACAGATTCTGATTGCACACATAAGAACTCTGAAGTTGACATCAAGAAGATGCTTGAGTTTCTGATTGACAATATCTATGTGGTGTTTGGTGACCAGGTATTCCAACAATCTATTGGAATTCCATTGGGTACAAATTGCGCTCCGTTATTTTTATTTTTATATTCATATGAAGCAAAATTTATGCAAAATATTATGCGTGAAAAGAAGAAAATACTTGCTATGGACTTCAACTCGACATTTAGATATATCGACGACTTATTGTCTATAAATAATGGTGATTTCCATTCCTACGTCGATACTATATATCCTGGTGAGCTTGAGATAAAAAAAAATACCGACACTTCTGTTTCAGTGTGGATTTTACTTGAAAAAGACACTAACGGTAATCCAACAACCAAGCTAAATGATAAACGTGATGACTTTAATTTTTCTATCGTCAACTTCCTTTACTTATGCAGCAATATACCTTCATCAACTGCATACGGAGTATATATATCTCAGTTGATTCGAGACGCAAGAGCTTGCTCTACGTATTAACAATTTCTGAAACGAGGTAAATTATTGACAAGCAAGTTGATGAAAAAAGAATATCAGCAGTCTCGTTTAAAGTAATCATTTCTTTAGTTCTATGTTCGATACAATGACCTTGTCAGCAAATACAATTCATCATTGAGTCAAATGCTGACTGACATTTTTCAAACCAATTTTAAGTCCATTATTTATACACTGATTTAACGCAGATGTTTCCGTTATTTCCTGATCATGACAAGGAGCACACGGCGGGTGTGACCGATCGGCAGGGGATGCTCACTCCTCCATGGCATCTGATCCCACGCTCTTCTTTTGTATTGCTTTATGGACTTTGAGACTGAATACTGTGCGTTATATCCATATCCTTCTTCCTAATAAATCATGCGTTTTCACAATAATCATTATAGAGCCCTATCCTAACACCAGAATCTCTGACCCAGGGGTCATGAAATTCACAAATTGGGAAGAAGCATCCTTCCTCATTATAACTATGTACATAGTTCATTGGTTTTATACCCATGAGCATAGGAGAAGATTTTAAAAGAAATTATGCATTTTCACTATAAAATCAACAGAGCCCTGCCCCAACACCAGAGCCCCTGACCCTGGGGCCATGAAATTCACAATTTTGAAAGAGGAAGACATATTCAATATAACCATGTACTTGGTTAGTTTATTTCATTCCCAGGAGAAGAGAAGTTGATTTTTTAAAGAATTAATGCATTTTCACTCTAAGAACAATTAAAGAGCTCCGCCCTAACACCAGAACCCCTCACTCATGGGCAAATGAAATTCACAATTTTAAAAGAGGCATTCTCGGTCATCATAACTATGTACGTAGTTTGTTTGTTTAATACCCAGGTGCAGAGAAGAAAATTTTCAAATAATTAATGCATTTACACTGTATAACCAATAGAGCCCCGTCCTTACACCAGAACCCCTGACCCAGGGGCCATGACATTCACAAATTGGGAAGAAGCATCCTTCCTTATCATAACTATGTACATAGTTCATTGGTTAAATATCGATCCAAGCACAGAGGAGATGATTTTAAAAGAATTTATGCATTTTCACTTTACATGTATATCCAATAGAGCCCCGCCCCAACACCAGAACCTCTGACCGTGGGGTCATGAAATTCACAATTTTGGAAGAGGCAATCTTATTCATCATAACTATGTACGTAGTTTTTTTTGTTTAATACCCAGGTGCAGAAAAGAAGATTTTCAAAATATGAATGTATTTTCACTATATAACCAATAGAGCCCCGCCCTTAAACTAGAACCCCTGACCCAGGGGCCATAACATTCACAAATTGGGAAGAAGCATCCTTCCTTATCATAACTATGTACATAGTTCATTGGTTAAATACCCAAGCGCAGAGGAGAAGTTTTTTTTAAAGAAATTATGCATTTTCACTATATAACCAATAGAGCCCCGCCCCAACACCAGAACCCCTGACCCTGGGGCCATGAAATTCACAATTTTGGAAAAAGCAATCTTATTTAACATAACTATGTACTTTGTTAGCTTATTTAATGCCCAGGAGCAGAGAAGAAGATTTTCAAAAAACATTGCATTTCCGCTTTACAGTATATTTAGCTCCGCCCTAGCAGTAGCACTCCTGACCCTGGGGCCATGAATTTCACAATTTTGGTAGACGACTCGATGCTCATTACAATCATGCCAACAGTTTGACAGCTTGATGTCCAGGAGCATAGAAGAAGATTTTTAAAAGCTTTGGCCCCACCCCTCAGGCCCCAGGGGGCAGGAACTATGAAATTCACAATTTTTGTTCCCCTTTACCCATAGATGCTCGGTGCCAAAATTGGTTGAAATTGGTTGAACGGTTTCAGAGAAGAAGCTGAAAATGTTCAAATGTTAACGCACGGCGCACAACGCCCTACGACGGTTAACAACGGATAGCAATATATAGGTCACCTGAGTTCATAGAAATTGTGATGGATGGGTTTTTTAAAAAAATTTAATTAGAGTTCAAAGGGATACATCGAATGTTGACAGGGGAGCTATTTTACGAGTTTCATTTTGATTTAAAAAAAACAGCCTTCTATGAATATACTATTATTGGAAATTAACTATGTTTTTGTTTTACTTCCAGTCGGTTTGTTCTATCCTCAGGACTTTGATGATTACATTTTGTGATTTTCATATTTCATTTGAAAATTCACGGTTCATAGAGGATTTCCATTTACAAATAAAGCTCATATGAATATAAGTGGTTTATAAAGCAGCTAGTTTTAAATATTTTTTTAAAGTTTGCCACGTTTCTCTATTTATTCAACGTGTCAAATGTTTTAAATCTTGCTTATCTATATAAGCTTCATGTATTATAATTCCCATTTTCCTTTTGAGAAAAATTATTGAAAAAAAGTTGATGAAATAAGAATATCAATACTTAATGTCATCATAGTGTTAGTTCCGATACGATGACCGGAACAATTAGAATTTATCATTCAGTAAAATACTGACTGACGTTTTTTCATACTAATTGTTGGGACATTTTCACAAACACACAGCGGTCGGCATGGAATGCTCACTCCCTTATTGGACCTGATCATCTCTAATGATTAAGAGGTCGATGTCTGCTCTGTTCCTCGTTTGCATTGTTTCGTTGGATTTAAATAATTTGTTCGTTATCTACATACCAGTATATTTCAGATTAAAAGAAAACTTCAATTTTCCGATTAAGACAAATTTATTGAATTACTTTTGCAGTCCTTCAGCAACTTTATAGAAAAGCATGAATAAAAATTATAAATAGATTTTCAGTCAGCTGACCTGTACTTTCTCGTTAGTGTAAATTGCATGTCTTTTATTTTAATAGCCAACGGACAGCACCCTATAATTTGCAACATTCCTGTCACAATTCAAACTCTGAGAAAAAATTATGCTGCTATCTTCTTAGAGAAAACACTATTTACATATATATTTTTCAGATTTTCTATTAAAAACAAATAGAGTTACAGTGACAACACATGCTAAACGATTGGAAACAATTGTAACTCAAAATTTAAAATCTTAACCAAAATAAGAATAAATCGGGGACTTGTAATTTCTTGATCACGTTAATTTACAGAATTAACAGGCGTTCAGAATGTTTATAAAATGGACAAAAGAAATCCCCCGAATGAGGAATAAGAGTAAATGCGAACATTTGTATAATCTACATTTTCAATCCACACATGCTCCCAAGCTTCCACCTCAACGATGACTGTATTGGACCCAGTATGGTAATAACTTCCTGCATTTTCTGCAGATCTTATCTGTCCTTTCAATGCACTGTCTATTTTAAGAACTGTACTACAGAAAGAACTTCCAATGTTGATACACTGCATGGTCCAGTAGAACAGGTAAATGCCGTGAACAGGTGCGATAAAGATTCCGTCCGTCGGGTTGTAGTGCTTTCCAACGTTAGTTATGACTGTAGGGAACTTCAGAATGTATCCCGTATTTATGCCACTCCTATCACTACTGGTTCGAGCGCAAAATATCACAGCAGTGTTATTGAAGATAGGAATGCCTAAATGATATAAAACATTTGTTTTTTAACATGTCTAGAAACTATTTCAAACACGTTCGGTTGTTTATTTGCAATATTAAAGATATTCTTCATGTATTCAATTTTCATTAGGACGAAAATCCCGAAAACTGATAATATACAGCATTATTTTGACAAGAAACATACGTTTTTGTCTAACTTATATGTTGAATTGAGAATAGATATGTCTACTACGGAGAAAATATACATTTGATACTCTATAATAAACTTTTATCAGAATAAGAGTAGTCTTAATGACACATTGCTATGAAAACTTTTATTATTAATGTTTTATTGAAAATGCAAGAAATGAATAACTCACTTATCATATTTTAGTTCATTTTTTTTTCAGTAAGTTCAATATTCTCTTTGTCATTTTAATCAAATGTTTTAAAAAGGAGTGTTAAGTATAATATCGTAGAGTTTTTTATGCTTAATTTATTGGAGTGATAGAATTGGAAGAATGTTATGCTTTGCGAAAGCTATTTTATTTGATATATTATTTGATATATTATTTGATAAAGTACCATTTAATCCTCGCCATTCTCAGAACTTTAAGGCGGTAAAAAGTTTCAAAAATTTTAAAAACAAATATCATGACATCATACCTCCACTTGCTACGTTTAAGGTGTTGATACTTGTGAGGTTAGTGTTGTCCTTTCCGGTCAGCATTTTTGACACAGTTCTCTCCAGTATGGAAACTCTATTCTGAAGATCGGATACGGTCTCCTGGTTGGTAATATTCGTTGTCTTCTGACTATAGATACAATTAACACTTAAGAACAGAAAGCATATGATTAAAAGTTTTAAATGCATGATGTCTTGTTCAAAAGGACAGGATTCAAACAAGGAAAAGCAAATCCGTATTTTATTTATAGTGTTCGCTGCATCCATTTAATAAAGGCGTTATCAAATAGTTGTTTTTACAACCTGATTGGATAAGGCTTTTGTATGCATCAAGTGTAAGAGAACGCATGTATTTTACGACTACTAAACCTTAACTGTTTCAGATATCTGAATCTTAAATATGGAACAATCAAGTAAAGCATGCTTATGAAACATATATAAAATCTTTGACTGCTTTAAAATGTTACATAATAAAGAATGAAATAGATATTTATAAAATCTTTGACTGCTTTAAAATGTTACATAATAAAGAATGAAATAGATATTTAAAAAATAGGAAATGAAATCTTTCCAATTTCTCTTCACATCAATAAACCTATTGTTATAGACAGTATAAATTAAGTTCTGCATCTGCTTATTACTAACACTGCTTCAATAAGGTCTGTACAAAAAGCCGACCGTGCTCCGTACATTTTATTGTATTTCTTCTTTTTTTCTATTGAATGTACTTTTCAAAGTCGTTGTTTTAATTCCTCTTGGAAGGCAATCAATGAGTGAACTACTGGTATTTGTGTGACGTCATCGAGAATGTTTAAAATGGTTTTCTTTGTCAATAATTTTTTCGTTTGTTAAAAAATCTTTACTTTTTAAGACCATTCCGTTTTTATATTTTATTGCATTTTGTAAACACCGTATGCAGGTGATGAAGGTATATTGCTACATGATTAAGGTAAGTTGACGACGGAAAAAATAATGTCATGACGTTTATCATTGAGCTTGGTTGGTAGATTACCAATAAGTCATTTTCAAGTAAAATTTTGAAATATTAAACAGATGTGTCAGAAACTTTTATATCTTTTATCTCAACCTCACCAGGATTTATCGAATCGACATAAGAATGGAAATTTGCATTGTTAATTGACCATATATAAATGTCGAGTTGAAGGCCACAGCAAATGTTTTCTTCTTTTCACGCATAAGATTTTGCACAAAGTCTGCTTCATTTGAATACAGAAATAGATATGCAAGTAACGGGGCGCAATTGGTACCCTTGGGAATTCCAGTAGATTGTTGGGAGACATGGGCTCTAAAAACAATATAGATATTGTCCATTAGAAATTCAAGCACCTTTTTGATGTCAACTTCAGAGCACTTATGTGTCAGAATATTGTTAACAAAATAATTTTGCAAATGATCAATGACATGGTAAATAAATTTATTTTGGCTGTTTCTTACCATTTGTTAGGCTTTTGTATTTTTACTGAAAATTCCGTCCTTCCTGATCCTTACGTAGGGTTCATGGTGGGTCTCACCGGTCAACAGGAGATGTTTACATCTCCAAGACAGCTGAACCCATCTCTGGAATTTTTAAGGGTTCGCGTTTCTGTGAGCATTATTGTATTGTTCATAGTTATTATGAGAAGGATCGCTGTTAGATATCTTTTTCATCAATGCTCAGGGTTCGTGTTAACACTTAACAAATCAAAAGTTTAAAATGATTTAGAGTTTTAGAATGTTGATATATTAATTCAAATTTTAAAATAAAAAAAAATCAAACTGATCTGGTAAATTGAAATTTAATATTTTAGTTCAAAAATCTAATTTTTCAAATTTCCAAACAGGTTTTCAAAGTTTAATAATTTCGATTTTAACCTAAAAAAATTAAAATTAAAATTTTCAAAAGCGACTGAATTTTTAATTTAAACGTTTGAATTTTTAGTCTACCGTATGTTCAGAAAGTTTACACAACAATATATAGTTCAGTAATATTTTCTTTTGATTATTTAAACATTAGCTTCTCAAACTTCTAAAATCAAACTTTGAAACATTTTAGACCTGCGTCGTGCATCGTGCGTCTTTCGTTTACATTTGAACATTTTCAGCTTCTTCTCTGCAATCACTGAATCACCAATGAAGGGGAACAAAAATTGTTAATTTTATGGCCCCTGCCCCCCTGGAGCCTGATGGGTTCGACCAAAACCACTAAAATTAATGCAATCTTTAAAATTCTTTTTTACTCGTGGACATCATGCAGTCAAATTGTTAGCATGAATGTAATGACTATTGAGTCCTCTACCAAAATTGTAAAATTCATGGCCCAAGGGTCAGGGGGTTCTAGTGCTAAAGCGGGGCTCTATTGATTATGTAGAGAAAATGCAGAAATTCTTCGAAAATCTTTTTCTCTGCTCCTAGATATTTAACAAAGTAACTAAGTATATAGTTATAATGAGCAAAAATTCCTCTTCCAAAATTGTGAATTTTATGGCTCCAGGGTCAGGGGTTCTGGTCTTAGGCTGGGGCTCTATTGATTATATAGTGAAAATATATTAAATCTTTGAAAATTTTCTTCTCTGATGCAGATGAACTACCTATATTGCTATGATAAGCAAGGACCATTCTTCGGATGGGGGGGGGGTCTTCTTTTATATTGAAAATGAATTAATTGATGGAAATCATCTCCTTGGTAGTAATCAAACAGTTTTTGATAAGCAAGGGTGCCTTTTCCAAAATTGTGAAATATGTGGACCAAGGGTCAGGGGTACATGTGTGGAAGTTGCACTAGTGATTTATATTGCTGAATATTACTGATTAGTCTAAATGCTTTTTTTCTTGTTCGTTCCTCTACTCTGTCTATGGGTATTAAGTAACTAAACTAAACATGCTAATTTTATACACTGTAGTTATAATAAGCGATGGTGCCTCTTTCAAAATTGTGAATGCCATGACGTCTAACTTAAAACATGAACCAAATGTTGCATGATTCTCAGATGACCTATAAGGCCCATGGGCCTCTTGTTAAAATTTGAAATTTTGATTCAGATGTTCTAATTTCAAATAACCTAAACACTTTGAGTTTAAGAATTTTACTTTAAACATCATAAATATCAAATTTCCAAACCCGATTTGAGTTTTCAATATCAGTTCAATAGTCTAATTATCTAAAAGCTCTTTTGATTAACCAAAATTGTTTTTGAAATAGTTTGAAAAGTCAAACCAGGTTTGGAATTTGATGATATTTTGAGATATTTGAAGTAAATATCTAAAAACTCCTAGTGTATTGGTTTTTTGAAATTCGAATGTTTGGATCAATATTCTAAATTTTAAAAAATCTAAAATGTTTTGAAAGTTGAAATTTAGAAGTTTGAGGTAAATTTTGAAATATCGAAAGTCGTAAAAGATCCGTGTAAAGGTTCATGGAAGTTGAAAATCATTTTAAATAATCAGGAGAAGAAAAATGTTATTCAATTTTAGATTGTTAAGCGTAAGCTTCCTGAGGAAACGGTAGGTTAATACTCATTAGTTGAAACTTCAAAATTTGTTTTTTGGAAATTTGAATTTTGAATAATTTAGGTAAAAATCTAAAATATGAAAATTCTAAAACCTGTTTTGAAATATGAATATTTAGATTTTAGAATAAAAATATTTAATTTCAATATACAAAATCAGCTTGAGTTTTTGAAAGTTATTGAATTAATATATATATTAAGGGGGCCGACTATAGTTTTATTGTGTGAAAACTACAATAGCGAAACTCTTCTTTTTTATACCATATATAACTTACATTAACATCAGTGTACATGCAAAGTTTGGGGGAAATCTACCGTCCAGGTATTATTGAGGGACCGTCTCAAAATACAGGTTACTATAGGATTATATGGGAAAATGCCAATTTTTAGCACTTTTAGTCAAATTATACAAATACTACAATAGAGATTTTGTTCAAACTATAATATTTGATGAGCAATACTATATTATACAATATATGTAAGAAACACAGCATTCTACCGTCTTGTTACCAGAGGGGGCATCTCTAAATGCAAAAAAGAAGAGCAAATTTTACAATTTTTATAGAGTACTACAAAATATGACGTACACAATGGATTCATATGAAAACATTATAAAAGTACTGGAGATATTCCTAAATCTCTATGTTTTAAATTTCAAGAGCGTATGTTTATTACTTATTCTTTAATAATATTTTACTACCCCTTTCTTTAAGAGATACAGATTATCATAACGTCAAAAAGACACTGCAGCGACGTCAACCTACCTATCAATTTTTAAAAGCGGTCAAAAACTCAGTTATATCAAACTGTAATTACATTTTTATACCTATAATTTCTTAATTTTGTTTAATTTTGATAATTAAGCGAAAAAAGTTTTATCAAAACAGTAAAAACGCTTCATTTTACTACGATGCGCGAAATATTGCGCAATGGAAACTATAGTCGGCCCCCTTAAATAATATTCTTTTACTCAAAATCATTTTAGAAAATTAAATTGTTCGGTATTACACGGACTAAAATCTCTTTTGGTTAAGCAAAAGAGCTTTTAGATAGTTAGAATATTAAACTAATATTCAAAATTCAAATCGGCTTTGAAATTTGATATTTTGGATATTTAAAGTAAAAATCTAAAACTCAAAGTGTTTTGGTTATTTGAAATTTGAATGTTTGAATCAAAATACCAAATTTTAAAAAAAAAAAAACAAAACGTCAAATGTTTGAAATACAAAAGTCTCTTCTGGAAATTTGAATTTGAACATTTAAGGTAAAAAATCTAAAATATTTAAATTTTTCAATAAATTATACCAAATCAGTTTGAATTTTTTGAAATTTAGATATTTGAACTTATATGTAATAACATAGAACTCAAAATAGAAAACTAGAAATTTGAATTCTTAAGTGTTACTCGGAGCATAAAACTTACTGAACTTAAGATTGTTAAACGTAAACTCAAACAAACGTAAACAGGTAGATTAAAAATCAAAAGTTTAAAATACAAAAATCGTTTTTGGAAATTTGAAATTTGAATGTTTAAGGTAAAAATCTAAAAAAAAATCTCAAAAAAAAAATCTAAAACCTGTTTGGAAATTTGAACATTTAATATTTTTGAGCTAAAATATTAAATGTTCAAATTTCCAAACCAGTTTTGAGTTTTTGAAATTTAGAAATGAACTAATATATTAACATTCTAAAACTCTAAATCATTTTTAAAAAATGAATTGTTAAGTGTTACACGGACCGCTCAGGACCACTAAGCAGGTAGTGTTATTTAATATGTCAACTCGAGATCATGGTTTAATTTTTTTAAAATGATCATTCGAAAGTCCAACTACTATCAATTCAAAGATTCGCTTGGTTAAAGGTACAGTTTCTAACCATTTTCGTGGAATTAGGTTTGGAGCGGCTGTGCTTGAATCCACGATCTTCCGATTTAAGAAAAATTAACAATGAGAGATTCTAGGTTATGTTTGAAGATAGAGAATCTCATAAATCCAAGAATAAACCCAATCGTTAGTTAGTCAAAGACATAGACAAAAAGAAATACACACAGTTGTATATCAGGTGTCTATGAGCTAGCCATAAAAATATTCGGTTTTCCTTGTTCTTGATGTAAGACTTAAAAGATCTACAGGGTTGTTTTTTTTTTTTTTAAAAAGACAAAACAAGTGTTATTAACTATCACTTCTGCTTTGATTTTAAGGACAATGTAGATGAGAAGAAAACACTTGTCCTCTTTGTTGCTTTTAATTTTTTCGAGATGTTCCGGATTAAATTTTGAGAGGAAATTTGGGACCACAAAAAATAATGTCTTGAAAGTTTTACCCGTTGTCAAAGTGTTTCATGAGGATCTTTTATGCAGTTACTTTAATTTCAAAATTCAATAAATATGTCACCAGATTGAACAGGTTAGAGGGGCATAGACACAAATGCATAGCTGTTTTGCTTCCAATTTTTCAAAACATTTTTTAAAATAAATATTTTAATTTAATAATTGACATGAACATTTTTAAAACTCAATGGCAACTATATTCTTCAAATCATCACATCAAACATCTCTGTCTGTAGGCAGGGCACGAGCTTAGCTATTAATTAACGTTTACGTTTTACCGTGTCTTCAATTTGTTTGCTTTGTATATTATTACAGAAGAACACTTGTGAGTTGGTTTGATATTACATATATTTTTTATCAATGTTATGAATTACAGCTTTCATATTTCATGCACAACAGGGTTTCCTTTTTTTACGTATTTAGTAAAAAACACATCATAAAAGTTGTTTCAATCAAACGTATAATCAAATACCTAGTTCCTTTTTTCTATTTTAAATACTAAGTAATCAAAAGCCAAAGACTAAAAGCATACCATTGTTCATCTAATGAACAAAGAAATACTCCAGTAGATAACGATTAGATTGCAAGATACATGATACATGTCATGAAATCTTCTGTCTAAGCTATTGAGAACAAATTAATGAAACAATCATCCGTCTCGCTTGAATAATCATTTTTGCTAGTTCTTTGGTCAATACAGTAACCATGTCAGCAAATAAAAAAAAATTTTTATGTCAAATTCTGACTGACATTTAAAATGGTAGGCCATTTTGTACGCACTTAATTGCACGCGCTTAATTAATTTCCCGTTATTTTCCGGTTATGACAAGGAGCACGCGCCGGTCGAGACTGGTCGGCACTCCTCCATGGCTCCTGATCACACCTCTGGTGATTTCCGAGGTGCATGCATGCACTGTTCCCGATGTGTATTGTCTAAATGGAGTTTGAAATTGAATATTGTTATCTCCGTATCGCATTATATCTCAGAAATTTTAAAAGTGATACTTACGAACAAAGTATGAAAAAAGTAAATGGTAATTTAGCCAAAAATCTCAATGATAAACGTGATGACTTTAACTTTTCAATCGTCAGCTTCCTTTATTCATGCACCAATATAACTTCATCACCTGCATACAAATTTTATATCTCTCAGTGGATTCAACACGCAAGAGCATGCTTTACGAATAAACAACGTATGAACAATTATCTAAAACGAGATAAATTATTGACAAACAAGTTAATGAAACAAGAATATTACAGCTTCGTTTAAAGTCATCATTCGTTAGTTCTATGGTTGATACAATAACGAAGTCACCAAATACAATTTATCATTGAGTAAAATGCTGACTGGCGTTTTTTTTTTAGTACTGTTTTCAGGCTATAATTTTCATTTTGAATTAACGATGGATTTTCCAGTTATTTGCCAATCATGATATGGAGCACACGACGGTTGCTCACTCCTCCATGGCACCTGATTCTACCTCTGATTTTTTGGAGGTCCGTCTTTGCTCTGCTCCTATTTTCTATCATTTTATAGACTTTTGAGCTTGAAAACTGTTCGTTATTTTCATACGTTTCAATGGTCATATTTCCTATAAATGTTGTTATAACAACCAATTAATAAACGAAATGCTGTTAAACACCCAATTTTATGTTAACGCCCCCAAAATCTACCTGATTCAAGATCAATAATTTACCGCCTGTCAATCATTAAAAAACAATATAGCTTCTGATTTGATTGACAGGCCAGCTACCCGTGCTACCTGATAGTCTGAGTTTGTGTCCTTTGAAAACGATTGCCTGGTCACGCGTCAAACACTTTCATGTAGCCGCCTTGTATACACGGGGGTTAAAAAAAGAATCTTTGTAAAATTTTATTTTAAAAACAATTGAGAGAAGATAATTGAAACATGACTTCATAAAATATTTGCTTTTAATTTCAACGGCTATATAAAGTATATTGTGTTTTAGGCGATATGTCGTCCAAAATATCTACTGTAGAATTTAGACCAGTCCGTGCACAGAAACGCTATTTTGCCGATTAAAATTGGAATATGATAAATAAGAAAAGATATTTAGCACAAACGGCACGGATAAAAAATTCATTTATCCCATGTTTTATCTACGTATATATGAATACAATTTATACCATGTTCTGTTGTAAAGTTCTAAAATGTTAGAAACAGTTAAAATGTCAGAAACAACTAGGAGTTTCGAGATTGTAACTTTTAGCTCGAATTTTCTAACATCTGTCAATATACCCAATATTCGAAATTAAAAAGTGAATATATACAAAGATCAATTCTTAAAAGTATAAAAGAAATCTTGCAAACAATAAAAAATTTTTAAACACACAAACACCCGGAAATGGTGAATATTTTCGACACTATTGTTGATCAGAACGTAGGCAATATTCCTATCGCGGTACGGTACATTGTATATGTTCACATTTCGGATAGGCCTACCTTTGAATGGAATATATATATATTTTTTAATTTGATATTTACACAAGTTTAATCAAAAAATAAGATATTTTTACTTTGTAGTTTTACTCGGTGTTCTTTTCTTTAATTTGTCATTTTTTTTCAAATATAAAAACGATATTTCTTTATTTTTTTTTTTATCTTCATTAGATATCGCTGAAAGTATTTATAAATAGATTTTATATTGAAATATTTCAATTATTTCAAGTAATTTCACTCAAATTTAGACACGAAACACGGAATGTTGACCCTGATCACTAGACACAGACTTCCTGTGTAATGCTACGTATACACAGATTTTTGACATCTTGGGTATTGGGGGTCTCCAGGTAAATAACACCACTGTTACTTGGACCACTCCCCCTCCTCAGGTAACCGTACGGTAAAAAAATTGGGTCTTTAAGAAGAGGTTGTAAAGGAGAACAATACGTAATATCGCGAGTACCTCGCAGTTATTTAACTTACTACCACTCTTTAGCAGGGGAGTCGAGAAAGCTATCAATCTCGCAAGATTTCTGGGACACATGACATTGTTTACAGTACTGTAGTGATAAATGGATGATTCGAACAATTCTATACCGAAAGTACAATGTATTACCAAGGATTGAACTCAAAATAGTAGATTGTCAAAATAGGAAAAATTATATTTTGTCAGTTTTAAAATGTGACGATTTTCAATGAAAATCTAATAAGAAGAGTCCGCTTAGTTAAGTGTAATATGTAACATTTTAGGATAAGTTCCCCTCAAAAATTGATTAGGCTGGTTCAGCAATTGTTTAGCGAGGTATTCCACTAGGATTTTTTACTTATTTGTCCTTTTAAATTCTGCAATGATCAATCTTGCATTGTATTCAAAAGCACATTTGCCCCATCCTACAGACGTTTCCTACCTCCATCGCAAAAGAGTTCCGCTAAGTTTAGTAATTGTCATATCAAGTATTAGAGCCTATAATAATCCTAAACTTGTATTTTGTACGGATTGGAACAGATTTGGTTTTTTTTATTATGTCTTCTTGAGACTTTAAATAGTCTATTATTCTTGAGGCATCAAAGCCTTGACATTTTCAACAACCCACTATATGTGCTGCTCGTAAAAAGCAATAATTTCAGTTTTGGGACACATCCACAAATTTTCAGGTTGATTGGAGGAGTACTTGTACTGTAGAAATCCTTTCACAAGCAAAATTAAAAGACTAAATTTGGATAAACCAGCCTTCTATAAAACATTTTTAACATGGTACACGATTATAACTCATCACAATATGTAAATATAGGTGGGGATTTTAAGTCAAATTTAGATTCCAAACCTAAATAACCCTAAATCAAGAATGGAGGTTATTTAAGATGATAGAGATACAAAATCTGAAAAGATATTTTTCGTAAAAATAGTCCAAAATTAAAAAAAAAATATTTACCCGGAGAAGAAAAAAGAAAAGATCATCAGACTTTTTTTAATGACAGTGTACACGAAGGATATGGAAATAACGAACAGTACTCAATCTTAAAGTCCATAAAACAATACATTAGAGAAGAGCAAACACGGACCCCCGAAACAACAGAGGTGGGATCAGGTGCCATGGAGGAGTGAGCATCCCCTGTCGACCGGTCACACCCGCCGTGTGCTCCTTGTCATGATCAGGAAATAACGGAAAAAATCCGTCTTCAATTCAGTGTACAAACAATGGACTAACAATTGGTATGAAAAACGTCAGTCTGCATTTGACTCAATGACAGACTGCACCTACGGACAAGGCCACTGCATCGACAGAAAGTAGAAGTCACTATTTTCTATAAAAACTTTGTAGTGGCACAATTATCGGGGCACGCCACCTCCCGGATCATATGGCCTTAAGTTAACTGTATTTTAGCCGTGTCAACTGATAATTTATCAGTCCGTTTCAAATCAAAACTGTTAAGATTAAGAGCACTAAACTTTTTAAAATTATAATTATTGTTATTTGTTTTCAATTCTCGATGCATTCATTCTTTATAACTGAACAAAAGACAAAATGATGCGTTTTCAAATACATTATACAACAAAAATTCAAAATGTGGATTACAATTGATGCTTCAGTTGTTATATAAGATGCAGTTTTTATGATTCATGTCACATATAATGACAAATGTATATGTAATGACAATAGTTTTCTCAAGAAAGTATTGGAAAATGCGAAGTGGTAATAGTTTCTCGACCACACAGTTACCACAAAATATTTTCAATTTTGTCTAAAGGATCTGTAAAAGCGATCCTCCAAATGATGAATCGGAATTAATGTAGACATTATTATAGCTCTCATTTTCAATCCAGACATGGTTTCCTGCTTCAACCTCTAAGAACACTGTGTTGGATCCAGTATGGTAGTAACCACTAGCCTCTTCACCAGATCGTATTTGACCTTTCAGTGCATTGTTAACTCTTAGACCGGTACTGCAATGTGGGCTACCACTGTAGTGACATTGCATGGTCCAGTGGAACATATAAAGGCCGTGAACAGGTGCGATGAAGATTCCATTGGCGGGGTTGTAGTGGTTCCCCAGGTTGATGTTGACAGAAGGGAATTTCAGAATGAATCCAACGCTTAATCCGCTGACGCTACTGCTAGACGAGGCGCAAAATACCACGGGTGTGTTATTGAACATGGGGACTCCTATGAAATGCAAATATATATGATAATGTATTAATTTGTTTCACAGGCATGTGTATAGCAATAGAAATAAATTACTTATTTTTGAGTTTATGCACGATTACTTTATCGGAAAACCAAGAAAAATCACAATAAAAATAAAATGACTACAAAACTACTTTTCTCTTTACTTTTGATAAAAAAGATACGTATATAGAAATTCCGTATTCTATAACACGTCACAATATATTTCCAGAAAAAAAGTTATCATTATCATTTTTCATAAAAACAAGAAAACAGTAAAATAATTTACAACAAAATAATTGTATATTGAAATTCAATCACATCTTTATCATCTAAATGCAAAATTTTTCGAATAAAGTCACTAAAAATGAATTCATTTTTTTTTTAATCTGATTTTCTCTGTACATTTTCATTTTACCTAATTCCATCTAGAAACAATTAAATTTGATTCTAAGAGAAAACAAGGATCGAAGATTAACGTGTATGCATTTACTCAAAATTATTTCTTAACCTATGTTTGACCCTATTATGCGAGGCTCTAAATTCAATATAAATTTAATTATACTAAAACACAATTTACTTGACGTAATGCAATTTTGACCTCACATATTAGAGAAATGAAATGATGTAAAGAAACATAACAACGGAACAAATTTTGGTATATTACCTTTTCTGGCTATATTGAAAGTTGTAATGTTTCTGTTGTCCTTTCCAGTTAGCATTTTTCCAATAGTTCTCTCTAATAAGGACACTCTATTCCGCAGGTCGGACACGGTTTTCTGGTCCGTTATAATAGTTGTGTTCTGACAATGAACGGTACTGATAAAAATGACAAGAAAAATTAAAACTTTGTAGACATGCATTGTGTTTGATATTGAAGATTAACGCTTGATGGTAAAAACAAAAGACTTTACATATTTATCATATGCGCATTTATATTTATGTTTGGGCGTGTTTAAAAGAGAGTCGTTGATTGGATGAAAAAAGGTATCAACTTAAGTTTCAATTTATCTTAAAAAATGCTGAATATCATATTGTTAAATTTGAATATTTGTATTTACATGTATATTTCTTTTGAACAAATTAATTTTATGACAATTACCGGTATTTAGAAAGTGTTTGTGTGGAAAAAAAACCACTGGGATAATATTTGCTCGACAGTGAGTTTGACAGTCTCGTTTTGGCTTGTCATTTTACTGATATACTGTCTATATGTGAATAAAATTTTGTATAAATAAAAAAAAATATACTGTCTATAGACGATAATGAGCAGTTAACATCTACTTATTCATTGTATGACAAACAAGATGACTTTAGCTTTTCCATCGTCAACTTTCCTTACTTATGTATTAGTATTCCAATATCATCTTCTCTTTCAATTTGGTGAGCGTTTTGTGAATTGTATGGACGTTTTAATGACCTTATTAGCTAATATAACCTATTACTGATTTGTTTCATGCTTAATGTTAAGCTTATGTTTTTGCAATGGATTAATTATGAAAAGTTTCTTCTACCTGATAATTACATTTTAATTTGCTCCTGGTTGGCCTGACTAATCACCAGGGGAGGGGGTGCTTTCTCATCCTAGGCACCTGATCCATCCTATGGATTTTCCAGCGTCTGTGTTTAAGCCCTCTTCAAGGTTTTGTATTTTTTATCAATCAACAGCTTAAAAACACACGAATTTTCCCCTTTATGCGCATCCATTCCCCACGATAAATAAAGTCAAGGTTTATTGATATCATTGACATCTGTTTTTCAATAAAAATGGAACCCGTAAATTTACTTTACTTGTCATTGGTCATTTGCAAAATTATTTTGTTAGAAACAGTCTGATTGTACACGTAAGTACTCTGAAGATGACATCAAAAAGATGCTTGAGTTTCTGAATGACAATATCTATGACTATGGTCTTCCAGCAAACTATTGGAATTACTATGGATACTCACTGCGACCGTTATAGGCAGACCTATTTTGAATTCATATAAAGCAGAATTTGTGCAAAATCTGATGCGTTAAAAGAAGGTAAAAATTACTGTGGCCTTCAATTCGACATTTAGATATATCAATGAAGTACTTTCAATTAACAATGGTAAATTCCATTCTTATGTCGATACGATATATCCTGGTGAGCTTTGGATAAAAGATACCACAGAGTCTGACACATCTGTTTCATATTTGGACATTGTACTTAAAAAAAACCTTAATGGTAAACTAACAACCAATTAAGATCTATGATAAAAGTGATGCCATTAACTTTTTCTATCGCCAACTCCCCTTACTTATGCAGAAATATACCTTCATGACCTGCATACGGATTTTACATAGCTCAGGTGATTAGGTACGCAAGAGCATGATCTACCTATGACCAATTGCTAAAACGAGGTAATTTTTTGACAAACAAGTTGATGAAACAAGAATACAACAGGCTTCTTTAAAGTCATCATTTCGTAAGTTCTATGGTAGATACAATGACCTTGTCAGCAATTATAATTTATAATTGAGTCAAATGCTTACTGAAATTTTTCAAACTAATTGTTAGTCCATTATTTAAACATTGAATTGACGACAGATTTTTCCGTTATTTCCCGATCATGACAAGAAGCACATGGCGGGTGTGACCGTTCGGCAGGGGATGCTTACTCCTCCATGTGGCACCTGATCCTACCTCCGATGTTTTGGAGGTGCGTATTTGCTCTGCTCCTATTTTATATTGTTTTATGGACTTTTGATCTTGAACACTGTTCGTTATCTCAATGTGTTTCATGATAGATTTTTTGGTTCGATCGCTGTTCGTTATTTTGTGAATTGATGCGACCTGACATTGAATCGTGTCCTTATTGAAATGTTTAATATTAATTGTTTCATCAATGTTTATGCTAAATTTTAGAACAGGCTAATTCATTTGCCGTATCATGACGGGATTGGTCGGTGAGAGAGAATATTCAGACTTCCCCTGGTCCTACCTCCAACTTTTCGGAGAGTCCATAACTTTGCCTTGTTAGCGATTCAAGCGGTTATCAAATTTTGTGGAATTGACGACCGTTTGTTATCTTCACAATTTCAATGCATAAATTACATCTACGTAATAAAATGTTAATTTCCTTCCGATTTCATATGGGGCTTAGATTTTCAGAACAACAGATAATACTTTTATTGTCAACAAATTAATATTACATGATATCCCAGTATAAGGAATTATTCAAGTATACAAAATGACAATAAAAATTGGAATATATAAATTTTTATGGATTGATTCACAATTTCTTAAGGACAGATGATACAAACAAAAAATGGATGCATGGATTGGTATTATATGTTTTGACCTAATTTCATTGTGAATGATGCAAATGATAAGGTTTTTGAATATAAAGAAATTGTTAACCTTCTGTGATGTTCAAAAATCTACCCTTCTGAAAACATCCTATGGAAATATTTTTCACTTCAGTTTCCATTTTTGTGCAACTTTGAATAAAAAAGATAAAAAATACGCGGTGAAACTTATTCATTTTATTAATTAAAACCCGACCCAAGTTTTTTCCGGTATTTTCAAAATTTTTGACAAACGTTTGTTTGTATCATCTGTCTCTGATTTACCCTATAATGAAAAAGAGTACACTGTAGATTGTTAGACGGTTTCTTCCCAATATAATCTGGTTTTACCCTCTGTTGTGTTCAGAGGTCTGTATTTTCTGCTCTCAATACGTTCTGTTTAATTACATTTCGCGGGTTGCAGAACGTTCATTATCTTAATTCACTTTCTATTGCCTTTATCTTGTATATTATTTAGTTAACTGTTATATCAAACCTAATTTCTGCAAAAGGTTTTCATGGCCGAATTTTTTCTGGCAAACAGTTAAAAATTTATATCCATTTAATAATGAAATCATCACAGCTTAAAGTAACATAAGGAAACAACTTGATGTTATCTACAACCAGGATGTGCACAAGATTTTTAAAATAAAAAAAAATTCTAGTAAATTCACAAAAGGCTTATTTTCTTAAGTGTTGCTAAATGAAACAAGTATAGACACATAAGAGTGAATACAAATAGGTCTTATATTCTTTAAGTATCAGTTGCTTCGTTTTAGTTACTGAATATAAAAAGTTAGTTTAATATTTCATGGTTTTTTCATTTGACATTCTGTAAAAGGCAAATTTATATGTTTGGATAATTTTTTTTTAAAATACGGTAACTGATAAATGACTCTCTCTTATTACTTTAACGTGTCCAAACGTACGATATTCTTTTCACTTGTAGAGGATATAAAATTGCATTTTGAGATGCTTTTTGATGTTTTTATTTCATTTAAATCAAGTGATTTTAGGGATCAATTTATATTGAATATAGCAAATAAGAAGACAGTTGAATATTTAGAGATAAAACACCAAGCCAAAATTAATGAGGTTACTATTCTGACGTCTTTATTTTCTTTGATTCCGAATTATAATCTTATTGAAACATTTTTTGTCAAAGAGAATACACAATATCATATATATATATTAAAAATTGAATTGGAATTTTTTGTGTGTGTGTAAAAGTCACAAAAATTGCTTTCGAAGTGCAACCACTTCCTCTTGTACGAGGGCATACAAGGACATGTACAATGTACAAGTATAGCAGAGTACAGAACGAAACTGTGCACATGATATAGTCTCTCTTTTCAATGGACATTAATATAGTGACAGATTGATACAGATTTGGATCTTTATTTTCCAAAACAAATGTACATGAATAATAAAATAATATCTTCTCTCCAATCCAGTACAGCTTCGGTCTTAGTATTGATCTGTATTTTAAAAAAAACGAACCTTTAAACTTGGACTTACAAATTTCGGAAACATATAAAAAAATATTCAAAAAGAATTTCTTACATCAGTATATGAATTTAAAGTTATTATCCGCCAATCACACGCACCACAATAATAAACACATAACGTTACCTATTTCCCTGCATTATATCCGTTGTATCCGTTTGCTCCACATCCGTACGGTCCACATCCGGATCCTCCATTCCGCCCATTATTTATTCCTCCATTATGTCCGTTAAATCCGTTATCATTATTGAATCCATCACGTCCGTTTATTCCATTATCGTTATTGAATCCGTTAAATCCGTTGTCATTGTTGCTATTCCATCCAGGTCGTCTACCTGCGATTCTCCCCCCGGATCCTCCTGGCTGGTGACCAGCCCATCGAATACCGCCTCCTCCATTGTTAATTCTACTCCTGCCAGGTATATATCCTCCAGCTGTATTGGGATGGAAGAGATAACACCAAAGTCAACAATAATTTCTTTATACAACCTACCGTTTGAAAACCACTAATATATATATATATATTTTTAAGATATGATTTGGTGGGGGTCAAATTTTTAAAAATTTTTAGGTTTTCGAACTTGAAAAATATATAATATTAATAGATATATGACTGATATAACAAGTTCTACTTAGAGATAAAGACAGACTAGACAGACAGACTTACGATAAGCACTGTAAACAGCGGCCACGCAGACACACAGGAGAAGAACTCGAATCATGGTGCAGAAATCTTCTGGGCAAAAAATTATTTGTGGTCAGAAGCGAGATCCACAGGACTTTATATATAGGTTAACTTAATTAAAAAATCAATTAAACTGGTGAAGTGAGTGCATTTTAAGTTCAATTACTTATTCTTCCGTCATTTAAACTCAATTGATTATACTCTATCACTAAATATAATGAATTTTCGAAAATGACTTTTAATTATTGTACAATATTTTACATCAATGTAAAAACATTATTTTAAAGTTTTTGTTAAAACATTCTAAAGGTTTTAACATTTTGAAGTCGAAAATGAATACATGTAGTAAATTGTAATTGTATTCTTTTAATGTATTTATATAATTTTATACAGGTAAGTTTCTCCCTTTTTATGTCTATTTTTATTTACTTTATTTTATTTATATCTTTATTGATTGGTATTTTTATTAACTTATTTATTTATTTATTTATTCATTCATCGTTTCAATATACCTAAAGAGTTGAATAACAATAAATTTTGAATCATGAGCTACCCTTGATAGTGCATATTGGAATTAATACAGTAAAATTTCCTCCATTTCTTTGCATAACTTATCCCATTATTAGGTATTCGTGTCCTGCTTTATGTCCTGTGTCAGCTGTACTATGAACAGAAACTGGAATCTCATTACTTTCATTAAGTGCACACGAAAGACACACTGATATAACATGACAGCTGGGTTTTTTTAATAGAAAACTGTAAATGAAATGCAAATATTTATGAAGTTTCTTTGAATAATTTTTTTTTCGTTTTTAGACAATTACAGTATTTAAAGAGATAATTTCTGCCTTACAAGGAATAGCCGCTTTATATCACTGTGGTTTTGCAATGATTAAGATACTTCTTAGTACATATTCTGGTAGATAATCTTGACAGGTAATGTTTACATTTTTTTTTTTTAAATTTCTATGCTATGTTTTCTCTCGTTGTCAAAGGATTTTAAAATGAATACTTCTGCTATCCAATTACTATATTCTTCTTTACATAAAATGCTTTAAACTTTTTAATAATTTTAGAGAAATCTGTTAATGATGTGTTTCATGTAAATCTGAACAGGTCACAGCTCTACAAATTAGCTGTACCTCTGAATTTACGTTGATTGTGAATGTACAACAACGTTAGCATCTCATTATAACTTAAGTGCATCAGTGAAATGTTCCATTACTTTTATAGATCAAAATACAAGAAGGATATGGATATAACGAACATCATTCAATATGAAAGTCCATAAAACAATACAAAATAGGAGCAGAGCAAACATAGACCTCCAAAACATCACAGGTGGAATCAGGTGCCATGGAGGAGTGAGCATCCCCTTTTGACCGGTCACGACCGCGGTGTGCTCATTGTCATTATCGTGAAATAACGGAAAAATCCGTCGTCAATTCAGTGTACTAATAAATAATGGACTAACAATTGGTATGAAAAACGTCAGTAAGCATTTGACTCAATGATAAATTGTATTTGCTGACAAGGTGATTGTATCGACCATAGAACTTGCAAATTGATTACTTTAAACGAGACTGCTGATATTCTTGATTCATTAACTTGCTTGTCAATAATATTAAATTGTTCATACGTAGAGCATGCTCTTGCATATCGAATCAAATGAGATATATACACTCCGTATGCAGGTCATGAATGTATATTACTGCATAAGTAAGGGAAGTAAACGAAATAAAAGTTAAAGTCGTCACGTTTATCATATAACTTGGTTGTTAGATTACCATTAACGTCTTCTTCAAGTAATATATCCAAATATGAAACAGATGTGTCAGACTCTGTGGTATCTTTTATCTCAAGCTCTTCTGGATATATCGTATCGACGTAGGAATAGAAATTACCATTGTTAATTGAATATACATCCTCGATATATCTAGAGGTCGAGTTGAAGGCCACAGCATATGTTTTCTTCTTTTCATGCATTAGATTTTGCATAAATTCTGCTACATGTGAAATGTACATGTAATTTGTAAATGTATCCAATGGACCTGGTTTGAATATGTTTAGGTTTTACAACAACGTTTTCATTAAACTTTAACTAAAATTCAACAGTTAAAAACAGAATTCCAATGTTCCATTATTTTTATGGGTCAGTAATAAAAATACAAGTGAAATATACATGTATCCAATAGATCTGGCTTGAGTATGAAAAAGTTCAATCTGATTCTTCCAGAAAAAGTATTGAACAAAAAAGTAAATAAACAAAGGAGAGATTTTCAATGAATAATTTATTAACTATTCATTTTTATTTATACAAATATGTTATACCAAATCAAAAGAAAAGTGCGACTTTAGCCTACAAATCATTAAATAATACAATGCTAGAGGAAAATTAATCGTTTTTGAAGTTGTTGCTGCAGGATACATCGTTAATGTTGATAGTTAACATCAATTTGTAGTTTAAAAATAGAAAATATCTAGTGGAACACCTTTAAATGAAGCATTACAAATAATTCCACATCTCTGTAACAGTAATTATCTGATATGTCATGCAAGATATCACAGTGTTTCATTAAATATAATTGTTAATTGTTTATGATTAATTATTTATAAATTTGTTTAATATTCGAGATAAAACAACTAAGGATTATAATATGGATTCCACAAGGATCTCTATACCTCTTGTATACCAAATGCTTTAAAGTTTGGCTTTTGTATTAACGCTCATCGTTCGAGGAATCATATCTTGCTTCATATTTTGTAAGTCAACTCTTTTAATGTTATTTTTACCAAGGGCTCCAAAGCCAACCTTTTTACTTCCTGAAATCAGATTTTTCTCTGTCTCTATCCCGTCTACAATTTTTAGGTCAACAGCTTCCGGTCCTGTTAATCTTTTTGCAAAAATAACTGATTCCCTTATGGCATTAGCATCAAGTTTGCGCCTGAAAGAAGATATTTTTAAAAAAGGAATTTTATTAAATGAAAAATCAGCAGTAAATTGCATCTGTAATAAAAACGATAAGTAGATACATTTCAAACATAAATCAATACTAAGTTGTAAAAAAAATTAATGAATTTACGAATACAAAAACAACTTCCCTAAGTAAGAAAATTATATTGAATCATTCAAAAGAAAACATAAAAAAGACAAACAAACAAAAAATACCCTGAGAGATAAAATAATATCACGGAACTCAAAAAAGAAATTTTAAAAATTCAAAATTGATCGATGATAAAACTCACTCTAAAATTTCGATAAGAAATTTTGGAATCTGAGAGCTAATTAAAGTTTCATTCCATGAAATCCATCCCCGATCAGACCGCATTACCCGGTAGTCATGACAAACTGCTAAGAAAGCGCCGCCGGCAAAGCAATGACCTTCAAATCACACAAGATAACCAGAAGTCTCTGTCGAGACTGTAGCTCTACTGGTTTGTACTTATCAAAAACCATTGCACTATTTTATGTATCTTTGTGTAGTCTACTTGTGTGCCAACTTATTTTGAAATCAAACTAAAACTGTAGAAGGAGTAGCGTTTTTAAGGAATTTCACAGAAAATTCTATTTTTAGTAACCATGGCAACACCGTTCATCGAAATCAAAAACCGATGCACTATTCTATGTATCTTAGTGTAGTCTACTTGTGTGCCAAGTCATATTGAAATCAGACCAAAACTGTAGAAGGAGTAGTGTTTTAAAGGAATTACACAGAAAATTCTATTTTTAGTAACCATGGCAACACAGTTGATCGAAATCAAAAACCGATGCACTATTCTATGTATCTTAGTGTAGTCTACTTGTGTGCCAAGTTATATTGAAATCAGACCAAAACTGTAGAAGAAGTAGCGTTTTTAAGGAATTTCACAGAAAATTCTATTTTTAGTAACCATGGCAACACCGTTCACCGAAATCAAAAACCGATGCACTATTCTATGTATCTTTGTGTAGTCTACTTGTGTGCCAACTTATTTTGAAATCAAACTAAAACTGTAGAAGGAGTAGCGTTTTTAAGGAATTTCACAGAAAATTCTATTTTTAGTAACCATGGCAACACCGTTCACCGAAATCAAAAACCAATGCACTATTCTATGTATCTTAGTGTAGTCTACTTGTGTGCCAAGTAATATTGAAATCAGACCAAAACTGTAGAAGGAGTAGTGTTTTAAAGGAATTTCACAGAAAATTCTATTTTTAGTAACCATGGAAACACCGATCATCGAAATCAAAAACCAATGCACTATTCTATGTATCTTAGTGTAGTCTACTTGTGTGCCAAGTTATAATGAAATCAGACCAAAACTGTAGAATAAGTAGCGTTTTTAAGGAATTTCACAGAAAATTCTATTTTTAGTAACCATGGCAACACCGTTCATCGAAATTAAAAACCGATGCACTAATCTATGTATCTTAGTGTAGTCTACTTGTGTGCCAAGTTATAATGAAATTAGACCAAAACTGTAGATGAAGAAGTAGCGTTTTTAAGAAATTTCACAGAAAATTCTATTTTTAGTAACCATGGCAACACCGATCATCGAAATCAAAAACCAATGCACTATTCTATGTATCTTAGTGTAGTCTACTTGTGTGCCAAGTAATATTGAAATCAGACTAAAATTGTAGGAGGAGTAGCGTTTTGAAAAATTGTTTACAGACAGACGGACGGACGCCGGACGCATTACTATAGCATAAGCTCTTCTGGTCTCTGACCAGTAGAGCTAAAAAGCACGCGTGCAAACAACAATTAGAAAATACTTATAATGAAGTTATTTTATTAATTTGATTATTCTACGTATTGAAACCACAATGTTTCAGCAATTTTTAGATACTAATAACAAAACGAGAGCTTTCATCGAGACCTACCATTAATGGCGGCCACGGTTGGTATAGGGAAGTGCATGACTCTCCACATAGTATCTGTGAGGACGGTAAAGAACTGCTGCCACTCATTGCTGCCCCTCCCTAGCGGCACTAAAAAGTCTAAGTCGATGCCATTACTGTAAAACTTACCCTCCCCCGTTGTCACCAGTATACGGACAGACTTGTTCCTAAATAAATAAAAATAACAGCACAACGCACTTACAATTTGTCATATATAATCCAAAAGTGAAAACATATTTTTTTTTTATCATCACTTTTTCTTTTATTTCCAAAATAAGTACATCAACCTTTCGTTGTATGATACGGTCTGTCACCGATTTCTATCATAGGCGCTTGGTTTCGAGATGGTATTATTTTGTGTATTATGTGTTTTTCTAGGTGTGTCTGAATACCCTCATCAAAATAAAATAAAAATTCACTGAAATTAGCAAGTTTTAAAAAATGTCATATTTACTGTAAAAGAGTAAAGAGTCACTCTCCATCTTGAAAATCAGGAGGTACCTCCTTTCACACTTAATTTTCATCTATATCTACATTTTTCCTACCGGTGTCGGGTGAGATTTAGCTTCAGAAATGATTGAATGACTACTCCTAATCATCTGTTGACCTACATATGCCGTTTTAAACATGCAGTGAACCGAAACGTCCTCGATTTTTGCACCTGATTACCGATAGCAACAGAAGTGCCTATTTTTAACGATGAAAAATGTAGATGCATCCCGGAATTACACGGAAAATCTAGCTTTTTGACCTCTCTAGATGTTCCATGTAATTCCGGGACGTCTCTAATTTTTCACCGTTCAAATCGGCACTTTTGTTGCTTTCAATTTCTGTGTTAGGTACTGAGGAATTTTGGGGTTTACTGCATGTTTTATACGGCAAGTTCAAATCAGCAGACGTTTGAAAGGCGTTATTCAATCACTTTTGAAGCTAAATCTCACCCGACACCGGTAAGAAAAATGTAGATATAGATGAAAATTAAGTGTAAACCGAGGTACCCCTTGATTTTTAAGATTGAGAGTGACACTCCTTTACTCTTTTTATGAACAGTAAATATGACATTTTTATTAAAATGTGCTAATTACAGCAATTTTTATTTTTATTTTGATGAGGGTATTCAGACACACCTAGAAAAACACATAATACACAAAACACACCATCCTGAAACCAAGCGCCGATGCTTTGACACAAATACTCCACCATACGATAACAAACCATTTTTTTTGTCGGTGGCAAGTAAAATTATGTCCTTTACTTGATTATTTATTTTAGTTTAAACATGAGAAGCGATTATCAACAAGGAATATCTTTTGTTAGAACATATTAAATGAAATCATTAACCAAAGGTATATTTAAAGCCTTGTTGAGCATGTGTTGTACACAAACGAAGGTTGACAACTCTTTATGTGTATAATTGTGTTACCTCTCGACTTCATCCAGAGCATCATTGAGCTGTTTGAGTGTTGTAAAGTTCCATCGATTTTCTCCGTTTCTCATGGTCAGAAGGGCGCATCCATCTTCATGAATCTCTACCGTTATCCCCATTCTTACGTTAAATATGACCGGTATAGTCCGCCTACCACACCAGCGTGATCTTTAGACCTCTATGGAGGGACGTAACGGTTTTCTGATTTTTTTTTATTTACTAGTGTGGGAACAACAATCCTACAGTTGATGGATAAAACAGAAAAAAATGTGTCGTTATTACTATTTTTTTTTATTTGTACCTAGTATCTAAAGCTGCTATTTAGATATAGAAAAACATCCTTTAAATTTGAATGCGTAGAATTGATGTAGGTAAAACAGACAGATTTCAATGTCAAAAACTAGAACTACATGTTGTACGCAATATTGATATGCGTATAGTGCTAGCTTTATTATTTTTTTCCTCTTTTTTCTCTTTTCTTCTCAGTTACTTTTTTTTACATCTGGCAAACAGGTCATTCGATCGATCATAAGTATTTAAATCATAAATGGGTAAAATTAAAACTTTCAAAAAGATTTTAAAACTTGTGCATTACTTCAATATATCAAGTTCTAGTTATATTATATTTGCCAGATTTTGGACATGATATTTCTTCATTGGTTGATGAAAAATAATGAAATTTAACTTACAGGATTAAAAAAAAATCGCAAAAAAGTTTTAGATATTTTAGAATAATAATATTTTAAATATTTATTCTTAACCTCTTTAAACTTCCTCACAAAAAAATACGCATTTTTTTATTCTAACGAGAAAAAGCCATGCATGCATAGTGAATAAATTACTTGTACAAAACTTTATGAAATCAAAATTTCAAATGGTGACTTCCTTTATATATATTTGAGAAGTGATGTAAATCAGATGTGGATACTAAAAATTCGAAGGAACTTTTTGTTGAAAATATGAAATCACAAAATTTTACCGAAACCAACAGCTTTAAAACTAACGATTTTTCATATTTATACACAACCATTCCCCACGATAAGTTGAAGTCCAGGATTTTTATATCATTGACATCTGGTTTTTTTTTCAATAAAAATGGAACTCGTAAATTTACTTACCTCGTCATTGGTCATTTGCAAAATTATTATGATAACATTCTGATTGTAAACATAAGTACCTCTGAAGTTTACATCAAAAAGATGCTTGAGTTTCTGATTGACAATATCTATGTGTTTTTTTTAGGAGGCCAGAGGCCCGTTTTACGAAAAGGACTTAAGAATTAAGACCAAATTCAATTCCTCATATTACTTTTTAATTAATATTAAATCGAAAACTATTTTTAACATATTAAAAGTAATGTGGTGAGATATTTTTACACAAACTACTTCAAAGAGAATGATTAATTTTGCAAAATTTTACAATAATCAGAAGTTTTTGGTCTTAGTCTCAAATTGTTTTGTAAAACGTGCCCCAGGTATTCCAACAATCTGTTGGAATTCCCATGGATACCAAATTGCACTCCGTTATTTGCATTCCTATTTTTGCATTGGACTGAAACGGAATTTACTGTAAAATAGCATATTTTCTTGGGGTCAGATTTTCGAGGATTGAGAAAAAGTTATTTGTTTGTGGGGATTTGATTTTGTGGTTGGAGAAGTGTTGAGTAGTAATGCATATGAAATTTTACATTTAGTGGAGGAAATAAATTCGTGGGTATCTCCATACCTCGAAAATAATGAAAATGAAACCCCACGGAAATTAATGATTTCACAGTATCCAAAATCTTATGCGCGAAAAAAAGAAGAAATCATTTGCTTTGACCTTCAACTCTACATTTAGATACATCGACGACATATTGTCAATTACATGTTATATAATGGTTGAATCTTTTCTTATGTCTATACGATATATCCCGGTGAGCTTGAGATAAAAGATTTACTTGAAAAAGACGTTACTGGTAATCTAACAACCAAACTCTATGATAAACGAGATTACTTTAACTTTTTAATCGTCAACATCCCTTACTTATGCAGCAATATACCTTCATCACCTGCATATGGAGTGTATATATCTCAATTAATTCGATACGCAAGAGCATGCTCTACGTTTGAACAATTTCTTACACGATGTAAATTATTGACAAACAAGTTGATGAAACAAGAATTTCAGCCGTCTTTTTTAAATACAATGACTTTGTTAGCAAATACACTTTATTATTGAGTCAAATGCTGACGGACGTTTTTTATACTAATTGTAGACAATTATCTAACACTGAATAGACGATAGATTTTTCCATTATTTCCCGATCATTTCAATGAGCACACGGCAGATGTGACCTGTCAGCAGGGGATGCTCACTCCTGTTGACTGACCCCATCTCTGATGTTTCGGAGGTCTGTGTTTGCTCTGCTCCGATCTTTATTTTTATTGGACTTTTGAGCTTGAATACAGTTCGTATCTCAATACATTATATGTAGCAATATTACCTAAAAAAAAACTCGTAAAGGATTTTTTCAGGTTACTGATGTTCTAGCATATGTTAGATGTTTCCAAACAAACCACACTGGAATCTCTTTTTTGTCTTTTGTTATGAAATATAACAAACAGGAATCATGCTAAAAAGTCCCTTTAAGCAATACAAATCAGGAGCAGAGCAAAGACCTGTGTTTGAGTAGCCCTTCTTGGATTATAATTTCATCATAACCAGAGCTAGCTCTAACAGTGGTGAGTAAATCTTCTTGATAATGTGAAAATCTTATGGATTCTTATATAGAATGAGCATTTGATAAATCCTTTCCTTTGTAAACGTACATGTATGGAGTAGCTCTATCATTCTATTAAATAAGATAACATATGAAAATACTTCCATGACATTGTATGAACAAAGAAAACAAATAATTCATCAAAAACAAATTTTTATTTATACAGGACAGGTGTGTTTATCCAAACACAGGCATCTGAAAGAAAAATAAAATGTGTTTTTATTTTTTAAAAAATTGGAAAGTGGAATAAATTCATTTACATTAAAAGAATACTTTGAATTAAACGACTAGGGTTTTATTGTGCAATGCTAAGTACATTAAAATAAAATGAATCTCATTTACTGTTTTTAATCAAATCGTTTTGTAAATAACCGATGAAATTTAACAAAATATAAAAATAACGTCAAAAATTTTATTTGTAACATTTTCATATAAAACTGATTTTCAAAATTATTTTCAACAAACACTGGTAAACTGACGTCTTAAAAGTGTTTGTGACGTTTTGATAAACTGAAACTCTATAAAAGAAGATTATAAAAATGTTATAGGTAAAAGAAAATAAGCTCTTGAAATTAAAAATATATATTTTGAGAATCTCACAATAATTTGGATAATATTTTGCATAAATAATTTGTATCTATCATATTTTATAGTAAAAATATAACAGGACGATATAATTAATTTTGACATTTTGAGATGCCCCCCCCCCCCCCCGTAGTTTTGTTTTTCTTAACATATGGTTGACGTCCAATAAAGCATTACTTATCACATAATTATGATTTGATAAAAATATCTATTGTAGTATTTTTATAATTCTGATAATTCTTTAGTAATTGTAACTGTATTTTAAAAAAGTCCCTAAAAATACCTAGACGGTAAAAGTTCCTCAAATTGCTATGTACACTGTTAATATACTCGTAAGTTACATAGTAGGTTACATACGGTATAATATAACCCCAATAGGCTCTCTTAAATTCAAATAAACGAATTTAAAATCTGGGCAAAGATCAATTTATACAAACCTTAGTAGTATCCTTTTCCAAAACCACCTCCAAGACCACCACCTAGACCACCGCCTAAACCTCCGCCAAGTCCTCCCAAACCACCGATTCCACCTAAACCACCTCCTATACCACCAAGACCCCCAAAACCGCCACCTAGTCCACCAAGTCCTCCCAGACCACCGAGACCCCCTCCAAGTCCTCCGAGACCTCCATATCCGCCATATCCTCCGTATCCGCCTAGTCCTCCGTATCCGCCTAGTCCTCCATATCCTTAATAAGTAGGATAGAATGTATTACAAAAGACATATAATAGCTTAAACAATCTAATGAGAATTCCATGGGTACCAATTGGGCCCCTTAATTAGCAGACCTATTTTTGTATTCATATAAAACAAAATCATTTATAAAACTTCTTCATGAGAAAGAAAAAAGAAATTTTTGTGACTGTCGATTAGACATTTAGATATATCGATGGTGTTTTATCAGTTAGCAAATCATATACACTTGTATGTCGACTTAATATATGCAATGGTGATTGAGGTGAAAGATATAAAGTCTGACAAATATTTGATATTTTACTAGAAAATGACATTTAGTAACTTAAATAAAAAGCTTTATCATAAACCTGATGACTTCAACTTTTCAATAGTGAACCTTCCTTGCTTATGTAGCAAATACACCATTTTCACACATGGGCTCTATATCTATCAGTAAATTCGATACGCAGGAATGTAGGAATGAACAATGCCTAAAACAAGGCAAGTTATTAACAAACAAATGATGAAAGAAGGATATGAAGATTCTCGTTTAACCCGTCGTTTCGGAAATTGTTTAGTAGATACAATAACCTTTTCAGCAAATACAATCTACCATTGTGTCATACACTGACTTACGTTTTCAAATTTTAAGTCCATAATTTACATTCTGACTTGTCAAAGTTTTTTTACGTTTTACCGATTTTGACAAGGAGCACAAGACGGGCATGACTGGTAGGCAAGGGGTGCCTACTCAAGCAAGGTACCTGATCCCCTTTGGTGTTTAAAGGTCCGTGTTTACGTATTGTTTAAATTGATATTTGATCTTGAAAGCTGTTCGATATCTCAATAGACCCCTTCATAACACGAGGGGTAGATTACATTACAGACTTAGAAAAGCTCCATAATATCGATGATTGATAATGAAAATATAAAAAGCGTTTTATTCATATATGTAGAATAGATTGTACAGAAGGACAAAGGAAAGCTTAATTTTGTTAACAGATAAGCTTTCTTAGTCTCGAGCGTACTGAATATATTAACTGCTCGAACCGTTATAATCTGATGGAATGTGACATTATATATATATATATACCTACGCAACTCTCGTTCTAGGTTTTCTGGAGGAAAAACTTTTTTCAGAATGCAAAACATTTTTTGGAGAGGATTTTGGTACATACATTGAAAGAAACTGGAAACGTTATTTAGATGACTGTTTTATTTTTTGGACAAAATCTCTACAAGATCTTTTAACAGCATTCTAAATATGGCTCCATGAAAGTATGCATTTTACAATGGAAATCAGTGAAAACAAATTGCCATTTTTAGACATTCTTATTATAAAAGAGGGAAGCAAAATCATAACGGATCTCTATTACAAGAGCACAGACTCCCATCAATATTTGATTTTCAACTCATGCCATCCCTCCCATACTAAACGAAACATCCCATTCAATATGGCCAGGCGAACTTGTACTATTGATGAATCGCAGAAATACAAGACTGTGTGAACTAAGAATTTTTCTTTCTAGACAAAAATATCCATCAAAATTAATTGAGGCTGCTATACAAAAGGCAAAGGAAATACCCATTAACGAATTACGTACTATTAGACATCACGAAGAGGAGAACAATATAAAGATCCCTTTTGTTCTAACCCACAACCCAAGAAATCACAACATCTTTAAAACTGCCAAACAATTTTTCCCTATTATTCAACAATCAGAAACATTAAGGGACCTTATTAAACCAAAGGATATACTACACAGCAGGCGTCAACCTCCCAATTTGAAAAAGATTCTTACCACTGCCAAATTTACATCGAACCCCGAGAAACCGATGGTTTCTAAGTGCGAGGATCCACGATGCGGAACCTGTCAAGTTTTAAAAACCGGACAAACCATTATTTTTAAAAACGGAATGAAGTTTGACGTTAAATCTTCTATGACGTGTAAATCTAAAAACCTTATATACTGTATGACGTGTCCTACATGTGAGGAAAATTATATAGGACAAACCGGAACCAAATTAGCCGACCGTGTTCGCGTGCACAAACAACAGATTAAGGATCCGACCATACGAAACACGCCATGTAGTGAACACTTTGATTCTTGTGGCAAAGGACATTTTTATATATTTCCTTTTTACAAAATAAAAGAGGAAAATGAACAATTACGGAAAGCCAAAGAACAATATTTTATAAATCTGTTTAAACCAAAATTGAACTGTTAAAAGGATTTTATATCAAATTATTGTATTATGTACATTTTATATAAAATGTCTCCATTATTGTACATTTATAATAGGCGCTTAACTTTGATCAGATGAACTGTAAAACTTTATCTGTGCGCCTCATTTAACTGTGATTACTATTACGTCACAGTCATTATGTTTAACGTTGCCTACATAACGTCACGAGAATGACGTCATAATGTAACTTGTTTACAATTTCAAATCTACTGATGAGCCCGCATGGGGCGAAAGCGCTTTAGATAAAAGTTTGAGTTTATCATTTGAATTTGGATTTTATTTTATCCCTATACCAAGGAAAAATAATTTTTTGAATATATATATATATATATATATATATATTTCATTTCTTAACTAAAATCTTTTAGATAAAACTTTTTTTCATTTGAAGTAAATAATTCTGATTGTAAATTAAAAAAATGTCCCAACTGAGTCAAAATATTTAAGACATAGTAACTTAGTAACATGGTAATTCCCTGATATTAATTTCCTTTTTTCGCATTTAATAATTCTAATGTCTTAAATAAACAATGTATGAAATATTATTATGCATGACATATTTTATTTAGTACGTGTATTAGGAACAAATTCGTTTTTTTAACATGCCAATAGAATTATGGTGATTTTCAATCAAGATTTGAATAGTTTTCATTTTAAAAATCTTAATGTTCCAGATAGTTTTTATTCCTTTCAAGCACTCAGTAAAAGCACATTAAAGATAAAAAGAAGCATTGCATTGTTCCGAGGTTTGACACATTTAATTAAGTATTACAATTCCTAATTCAATTTCTATTGGTCGACAAATAACTTCTCATTTTGTGAAAATAAAAAAAAAATGAAACGTTTTCTAAGAATTTTTTTTTATAGAATAGCTTTTTAATTATCTGGCGCACAACTTTTAGCAACAAATCCCAAAAGATATTCCTTTATTGACAATTTAATTAACAGAGTAATTGTATTATGCATGTAATTTTAGCATTTTAACGTTATAATTTCTAACACATACATGTATATGTTAAATTTATAGATATATTCACAGCTCTTAAACTATGTTTACTTGCGTTTTATTGTACAGCGCTTTAGAGTTGTATTATTAATATTTAGCGCTATATGAATTCATTTATTATTATATATAATATTAAAATCTATAAAGATCCTTACCTCCTCCGAAGTACTTGGCATTAACAGCTGGGAAAAAGTAAAAAAAGACGGTAAAATGTGACTCAAAAAGTAAATTAGAAAAAAAATCATCTTTCAATGAAATTGTACAATCTTATTAATAAAGTTAATTTATTTAATTACCAAGAAAAACATTATCCTTTCATCTATTTATATTTATTTTAAAATAATATGAAATTGTTAAGGCAAACAAAGAAAATTAGATGACATAATTCAAAAGGAATAAATGTTAAAATTTGAAGATAATTGTTTTTTTCAATTTTTTGTCAATTTTTTTTTTCAATTTTTTAAATCATAATTTTACAAGATTAAAATATTCTTACCACAGAGTGCCAAAGCAAGGAAAAATAGAGTTCGAATCATGGTCAATTGTTCAGATGTTCAGACTATAGAGATGCTCTGACTTTTATACAATGTCCAGTGAAATCACGTGTAATTTATTTTTTTTGTTAATATTAACATCAAAAGACATATTTATTGTTTAATCATGTTAATGTCATGTAATGATTAAATAGGAAAACAAATAGTTTTGAACTCCTCGCGCGCCCTTGTTAAAACAAGTGAAATCGATGTTATTTACTCACGTGATTAAGAATTGAACATAATGAAAGTGCGCAAAAATAAAAATTTATTATGATTGGATGTTTTTAAGTACAAGCTCACCTCAGCTGATTAACTATTTTCCGGAAAAGTTCACGAATGTCAATAGGATATATGTTGCAATTAAGATGCATTAAATTTTAATTGTGGAATGGAATTTACTCTGACAAAAAGTACGACGCAGTACAAAATAAATTTATTTTTATCTGAAAACACAAAAGAAGTTATACAATTTTAATTCCTTTTGTGTTTTTGAGTCAGCATAAGATTCTGTTGCATTTTTTAAAATGTTGCTTGTATTTTTTTTAACTTGAACATCCTAGAACAACGATATAGGCATAAATGGATTTTTTCGTGGAGTAGAGGAAATCCTGGCAGAAGGCACAGGACGAACCAATTAAGTGAGGTCAGCAGTCAACAGTGAAGTTACTCGTCAAACTTCTATTTGAGGTACATATAATGTATATTAAAGTACTTATGTTTGAATGAATTCATAAAATGATTATTTTTTCATCAACATAAAAGGAAAGTATTTATATTATTTTGATGTTCCGTTTATATTTAGTTGTAATAATGAAAAATTAAGATTACAAATTTTTCTTATCTAACATACAGTGTCAATTAACAATGGTTATTTTCATTTTTATGTTTATACGACGAAACACATGTAGAAAACGAACAGTATTCACAAAGATCCATAAAACAATACAAAATAGGAGTAGAGTAAACACAGACCTCCAAACCATCAGAGATGAGATCAGGTGCCATGGAGAAGTGAACTTGAAATGAAAGATACCACTAAGTATGACATTTCTATTTTGTATTTGGATATTTTACTTGAAAAAAGTGTTTACAATTGTAACCTAAAAACTAAGCTTTATGATAAATGTGATGACGCTAACTTTTCAATGGTTTAAATTATTCATGAAATAAGTTAGGTGAATGACAAACAAGTTGATGAAACAGCAATATGCAGGAAAGCATAATTGCATCTACATCTAAATTATTCATAAAATAAGGTATAGTCTTTTTTCTAGTAATATATTCAAGTATGAGATAGATATGTCAGAGTCAGTGGTTTCTTAAATTTTTCTTGATTTCTGGTATATATTAGTGTCGATATTTGAATGGAAATACCATTGTTAATCGTTAATATGTCGTCGATATAAATGAATGTCGGGCTGATGTTTTTTCTTCCCTTTATAAGATTTTGATTTTTTCAAAGACCACGTCTCCATACACCACACAGGAATTGTCAGTTAGCCACTCAAGCATCTTTCTCATATCAAATAAAGGTACTTGTGTGTACATTTAGAATGCTTTTTAAAAAAAAAATTTGTAAATAACCAATTACTAGATGCGTAGTTTCACGATTTTTATTTGGTTGACTTTTTTTATCTTGACCTTGGATTTTGATTTGCATTCGAAATACTTCAACCTTTGCTTTAAGCTGCCATACAGGGGGCATCAGTGTTTCAGAATCACATCTTGTTTAACTTCTGAATCAACGAACACAGAAGGTTACATTGTTTTAATATTACCCTATATCGCTTATTGCGTGACTTAAACATATATCTGATACATTTAATCCGTTCTGACAAAGTGTCAACTTCTCTTTTTTATGTTTGATCCTTCAACGCACAAACACAAATACCTGTAATAAAGGTGCTCGGCTATGAACAATTAGAAATTGACAGCTTGTCCTACAGCTTGTTATTCGTGTTAATAATAAACTGAACAAATGTCAAATAAATAGTCTTTTTTCGAAACTTCAAATAAACAACACCAGATGAAAAATTACAAGAAGAAAACTTGTTTACTTTTGTCCATCCGAAGACGCCAATTTTATGCTCTTAAATATCTTTCTAAGAAGCTATTATTAATATTAATCAGCGTTAACCAAACAAGTGAAAATTGCAAGAGATTATGCCGGTAAATGATATGACAAAGTCTTGAAATCGTGAAAATGGCAAATCCATATATAGATTTAACGAATTTATTGTGTACTGGTCATATACTTTACCAAGAACAGAAAGGATTTATATTAAAACATATTCAATACAACAATATAAAACAGACAAGAAAAAGGTAGAACAAATAATGCGTTCATTGCAATTATGAACATAAATTTCAAATATAAGGGATTCTTTCTATCATAACACAGTAAAAACTCTACACAAGAATTTGTCAATGTAACGGACAGAGAAGTTGGTAATTTTTGTAATTAATAAAAGTTTGTTCTGATCCCAAAATGTAAAACAATGTGTTTATAGTAATCTGACTAGTACATAAAGTTGTAGAATATAAAAATTTTAGAGTTTAGAAACGTTGATCGTGCGCGGAATCATATCTTTCTTCATGTTCTGAAGGTCTATACGTTTTATAACGTTGTTACCAAGAGCCCTGAATCCAATCGCCTTACTTTCAGATATCAGATTTGATTCAGTCTCAATTCCATCTACAATCTTTAGTTGGACAGCTTCAGGACCTGTCAACCGTTTAGCAAAAATGACTGATTCTCTTAAAGCCTCTGCGTTAAGTTTCCGTCTGAAAAGAAATTAAAAGACACTTTCTAATAAACTATTTTTTATAACACATTTACAAAGAAACAAAATATACAGGACAATAGCTACCGGTATACTTTTAACAATACATTTCTATGAAGTATTTTCTGATTGCTGTCTTAGATACGAACATTTTATCCAATAAATCATGAGACAAAATAAACTACAAATCTTCGTTTTTTTTTAATTCAAAAAGACACTTTAAAATTGTGACTAAGACAAAATTTCAAATTGCTTCGCATAATAATTCATAATTTCCCTTCTGCTTTCAAAAATGTGATTTTTCTGGCATTGAAAATTTAACAAGCAAGAAAAATATTTTAAACTCTTAAACTTTTGCTAAACTTGAAGACGTTTGATCGTAGTTATCTTATATATTTAGTAAAGAAAAACAAAGGTGGGGGTCTAAGATTAAAATTCATAAAACGTTTATAATTTTACGCTAAAATTGGCTTATTTTTTCAAGGACTTTCAGAATATTTTAACCTGTCACAATATGATAAAAGAATTCATAAAAAATAATGCAATAATTGATTTAGAACCAGCAGAAATCATTTCAGTGAAAAAAAAACAGCTTTGCGTGCAACCAGTATGGAAAAAATAGGAATTAAACTTTACAGTACTGTATATATTTCAAATCGGAAAAATTGATCAATTTCTTCTACAGAAAAAAACCACAAAATATTGTTTCTAGCATAATTCTATTTAAAAAGAATCAATGGTTGTTTCTTCAGTGGATATACTTTGATTTGCATTGTAGAATCCAGATTTAATGTTAGAAGTTAAAAAATGATGCAGAATATGAGAAATAAAGGTCCAGAGACTCCAACAGCCAGGATAAAATCAAAATAAATCACTAATAGCCCATCAACCACATTTGGATAAAAGAAGAAAGTCTATTGTTTTCCACTTGTGAGGAGTTTTATAAGGGAAGATATATCGTCACTAATAGCTCTTAACTAAGAAATATTTCAAATAATATTAACAACACATTTGATGAAAACAAAAAAAATGAGAGAAGAAAGTTATGTATAACAAAATATTGTTTTCATGAAAATTGATACACTTGTGAGCTAGAAATCAATTATAAAGGATAACAACTTTATAAGTATACATGCTGAAGGGTATATTTATAATCTTCAACTAATTTTTATTTTGGCAATTCTTTAAAAAGAACTTGTTCGGAATATTTTTGCGATGTGAATTACAAAAAGCTAAAAGGTGAAAGATCACCCATCGTTCATGGAATAGACATAAACACTGTTAAAATGAAGTGGTACGTACTCTAAAATTTCGCTGAGTGAATCTGTTATGCGAAGGCTTATCAATGTCTCATTCCAAGAAATCCATCCGCGATCAGACCGCATCACCCTGTAATCATGACACAATGCCAGGAAAGCCCCGCCAGCAAAACAGTGTCCTGAAAAAATACTTTAATATTGATAAAAACAACCTAATTACAAAATTGCTCCTACTTCGTCGAATTTATATTCTAAAAGAACTACAGATGGTCATAAAAAACGCACAGCAAGAAGAACAAAACCCTTCCCATTCTAACCGTTAATGGCGGCGACAGTGGGTATTGGAAAGTGCATGACTCTCCAGAAGGTATCCAGCAGGACGGTATAGAACTGCCTCCCAGCATCAGTAGATCTCCCAGTAGAGTTCAGCCAGTCAAGGTCAAGGCCGTTACTGTAAAATTTACCCTCACCCGTGGTCATCAATATCGAGGCAGATTTGTTCCTGTAAGTATAACGTACGGAAAGAGAAATTATTCGAACGATTGATTATGTTTCTAACTTTTAAAAAATGAACTTATAATTTTTAATAGGCAAATAAGGTATTGAAAAATGGTACTTTTATGAAGATTTAAGCTTTTTTTCTAGATTTACAAAAATAACATGTTTATAAAGACATGAATAAAGAATTCACATGATTAATAAAAGGTTTCATATTGTTGTTATTTTGAAAACCAAAAACATAAGGTACTGCAACATGTTTCTAACCCTGCATATATTAAATATTTTATATATATGAACATTATGGTGTCTTATTTAAATAAAAAATACAAAATTTAAATCTATACTTAAAGATATGTATGCCGTGCTAAACAGTATTTTTGCACAGCTGAAACCGAACAAAAATTTCTGAAATATAATAAGCTATCAAAAATGAAGCATTCTTGCAAATTCGACGAAATATTATTCGGTATTAACATAGTACTGGTCGGGAAAACAACACGATATTGTCATGCATATTTAGAAAGGACTGACCTTTATCCTGGATCTGTGCATGTGCGCGGGAAAAGCATTGCGAGAATCATCAGGTCGAGGAAAATATTTTTTGTGACGAATCACAATTTTTTTTCCCGAAATACTTTTTTTAACTAAATAATAGTATTCGGCATGTGAAATGAAAAATTTATGAGGTGTGGCTTGTACAAACTACAAAAATAACATCATTATGAAGTGTGTTAAATATTCCATATAAAAAAAATCTTTTATACACAAAATAAAAACATAAGCAATCAACATGTTGTCATATTTTATATATTAATATATTTTATATATATGAACATTATGGTGTCTTATTTAAATAAAAAATACAAAATTTAAATCTATACTTAAAGATATGTATCTGTTGCTTATTTTTGCACAAATTAGCTTGTTTAAAAGTGAGTCAAATTTAATGGTCATGGTAAAATTGAAAATTTTATATCCATCTGAACATATTATTGTATTAAAAAGTACTGGTCCAAAACAACAGATATTGTCATAATTTATAAATGTAGACGTTTATCCAGTTGCAAAATATAAACAAAAGCAAAGCGAGTCATCAGGACCTGGAAAATGTTTTCATGTAGTCTGTTCAATGAGGAATACAAATAGACCAATCAGCTCAATTAGTTTTTAATCCATTTATGGGTTATTACATAAAATACTTCATGTGTTTTTCCAAAAGGCTAGTTTTTTAAATCGCTCTCGGAAAGACTCCATGCTTTATGTACATTATTATCTACTAATCCCATGCTCATATTTGCATACAAATGATTAACAATGATGAAAATTAAAGTTTTCCCCACTCCATTGAACAGGTCCGTTTGTTTAGAGTTTACCTAGTAGACCATCATGCTTTTCGGTTCATTCACGAGATTGGAACATTGTTTGCTGTGAACATGCGAGACCACGTGATCATGATTATTTCAATAAAAGGCGGTTTTTTATCCGACACGGAGAGAAAATTTTTACCAAATAATATTTCATAACTTTTAAAAGTGATGGAGTGGAATTGTCTTATTTGCAGAAAGTACTTGATGAGACACCACATATATATATATATTTCTTTTAATATAAAACACTAATACGGCATATATATCTTTAAATTATTTAACACATAAGTGGCGTTGAATGATATATTTTTTTAAAATTAACAGTATGGGTACGAAATATTATCAACACTAACTCTTATATATATATATATATCTGACAGTTGTTTCAAAATTTTTAGGGGGTGTGTAAAAATTTGATTTACTTACAAACAACAAAAACACTGTTTCCTAGCTAAAGCAACGTAATATGTGGTATTTAAAGTCATATATGGCGTATTTTTCATATGTTCAGACTAACTAAAATTTAAATGATCTTTTACTTTGTTTTGTTACTTTATATAAAGATAGGACTTTCTTGTAAATAACACAATAATTTTATTTAAATCAATCGCGTTACATAGAAATCCGAGATTAAAAACAATAGCCGATTTATTTCCGAAACAGTTTAAAATCAATTTAACCTACATGTATAGAAATATGGGGATGAGATTTGGGTTCAAAATTTTTTATTTTGAATTTAGATAGCAAATATTATCTTAATCTTTGTTTTATCCCGGGTTTTACTTTTTTAGTTCAGATACCCCTTACTTAGTATATAGCTTTTTAACCCTTTTTAAAAACTTTTTATACGGCCCCTTGTATATCGAAGTACAAAGTACGAGTCCGATCTCGTAGCGCTTATTGCTGAAAATGTCTATTTGCTGTACTATAGACGTGGACCAAAAGAAAACAAGAACGTTCCAGTTTCTGACCTTCTGTGTGTTGTGTCCAGATCCTGATTTTAATCTTCTGATTTATTTGAATGTTTAGATCAAAGTATTATCTAGCCGAATATTAACTTGTTTTCCCATATTTAATCTTGCTAGCTGTAGTCTTTAAATATGTATACATGCCTTTCCACCTCGTCCAGTGCGGTATTGAGCTGATTCAATGTCGTCAAGTTCCAGCGATTTTGTCCATTCCTCATTCTGATTAGGGCACATCCATCGTCGTGAAATTCTACCGTTATCCCCATCATTAAATTTCAGTATTAACCTGGGTGTATGAGGTCTGGTCAGTTAATTTTGATTGTTATCACATTGACCCCGGTGTATGGAAGCAGGGTACAACATAAACTCAACGATTCGATCATTACATTTAAATGCATCACAACAATGACTGACCAAGCAACGCCAGAAAAAATACGACAGTATTATAATAATGAAGTTATAAAATATTGTTCCACCGACTAACCATGTGCGCCTTTAAACTTTAGAAAAAATGAATACTTGAACTCGAAAGGACAATAAATTAAAAGCACGTCCATATATAAGCAGAGTGTAGAAAAATAGAAAATATTCGCAAAATTAAAAATTTAAAAATGCATGCCGTCTAAAATTTAGAGGAAATTGATTACACTTTACGTTTCACAAGACTAAAATTTACTCTTAAACGTTGTAAATCACATGTACACATCTTGTGATGTTGACTCTTTTAACTGTTTGCAAACACACAAATAATTTGGACTTTATACCAGAAATTTAATTTTTTATCCAGTTTTAAGTATACATATGCATTCTATGATTTGAACGCCATTTATTGCTGCTCAGGTGTTAACGATTTGATTAATATTGGTTTTGTCAGATAATTATCATGAAATCCTATGAGATACACTTGACACATTTACGAATTCGAAGAGAGTGACTTTGTAGAATAAAAAAAAGGTTAATGGAAGTCTAACCTAATTTTAGTATACCAGTAATATTATATATTATTTTACCCCTTTATAATGATTTATTATAAAATAGCTTATTACAAATATCCAGAAGAAAAAAAATCTCTAAATAGTTGATATAGAAAGTTTGTTTTTTCTTTTATTATCATGTTTTGTTTTTTTTTTATTTTTACTTTTTCAAAAAGACATCAGTTACACAAAGTTCGTTATTTTACTTTAGGATCAGGGTCCGTTGAAGGTTATTTGTCATTGTTGTACATACATGTATGTGGCAATTAAGCTCAAAATTTTTCAAACAATACAAACTGGAACAGATCTATCATAGATCTGCAAAATTTCAGAGATTGGCAAAGATGCCATGTATGAGTAAGCATCCCCTGGAAGATATGTTGTTTCTGAATGAAAAAAGGAAATCAATGTGTTCCTTTGAATTTATTTCTAAAGTCAACAATTATTATGCACACTTACAGTTAAAAATCAGAACAACGTCATTAAAAATTATATAAAAGAAATCACAAAAAGAAAGAACAAATGACAAAAAAGTTATAACAAATCTGCTCTGCATATACAATTCATTACATGTATGTTTAATTTAAAGCATCGTGTAATCTACTTTTTCACATCTGAATTATTAAACACAGAAGGGTAAATTGTTTTAGATTGCCCACATCCGCTTAATGCAAGTTTTTAACATACATCTGATACCTTAAGTCCATTTTTTCTAAGTGTCAAGGTCACTTTTTGTGTTTGATAGTTCATCTCACATGCACAAATACTTGTTATGAAAATGCTTGGCTTTGAACCATTGGAAAATTAAAGGTTGTCCTACAGCTTGTCATTCGAGTTATAATAAATTGAACAAAATGTCAAGTAATAGTTGTCGAAACTTCAAATACACAACACCATATGAAACATTACATGTACAAAGAAGAAACGTCTATACCCTTTTCACACCATCATACGCACAGTAATAGTTAAACTAACGAGTGTTTATATTGTAGGGGTTTGTACATCGGAACAATATCACAAGATCTTGAAATTGTTAGAATTGCAAATCCGGAGATATATCGAATTTTCGACCGAACACATTGTTTGAAGTATAATGAAGCGATATCCCTATGACTGATGAAAGTAAATAGACACTCTTGTGAAACAATATTTTTTGAGACAATAAAATTAAAAACTGCGCTCTTTGTACATTGTTTTTAATAACATTCCCCTTGGATTTACGAAAAAATCATTCAAGGACCAGATTTACTGGTCATCACTGTACCAAAGACACACTTCATAGAGAAAACATAATCGAGAAAAAAATCTAAATCTTTGCAGACATGAAAAGGTAAAAAAAAAAATATGTTTTATACAGTGATGAAAATAACATTTTAAACAAGGTTTTTTTTCAATCAATAATTACATGTAGTATACATTGTACATTAATTAGCTTTTTTATCGTCCATGTAACGGACAGTGAGTTTGATGAATGAGATCTTGTTCACAGTATGAAAAAGAAATTTAAAAAAATCTGACTAGTGCATGGTTAATGCTAGGGGGGAAAAAGAATCCTCAAAGTTTTGACTCGTGGATTGTGCGCGGAATCATATCTTTCTTCATGTTCTGCAGGTCTGTACGTTTTATAACGTTGTTTCCAAGGGCCCTAAACCCAAATGCCTTACTTTCAGATAACAAATTTGATATATCTTCAATTTCATCTACAATTCTTAGTCTGACAGCTTCAGGACCTGTCAACCGTTTAGCAAAAATAATTTCTCGTAAAGCATCTGGGTTGAGTTTCCGTCTGAAAAGTAATAAAATGTTTTAACGGGGAAAAACTTTTTCGAAAACACTTTTATATATATATATATATATATATATATATATATATATATATATATATATATTTGTGATCCCTATTATTGCCCTAATAAAATGAATGATAAAGAGCCTTTAAAAGCCAGAAAAAGATATATGTCAAAGAAGTGTATTATTTTATTTGTGTTGTGCCCCCCCCCCTTTTAAATCGTTTTCGAAATAAAGCCTAGCAGTTAAGTTAAAAAATCTTCAATAAGGCTTTCTATATTATGCTAGTATGCCTACCCAGAAATGTAGGTTTAACTTACATTTCTACAAGTAGGCCCCTAGCCTTGCCTATCACGTTTTGTACTGCCATCGTCCAAAGAGTTTATTTTCATGATCAACAACTTTCAGTCAGAAGTCCGTTTGATGTAAAGCTAGCAATTGTCTTATAATGTTTTCAAAGATGCAGATAGCAAAAATTCTAAATTTTGAACTTGGGAATAACATCAACGGTGCTACGTCATCAAGTTTTACGTCATCAATTTGAATAAGCAATCATTCATGTAAAGCTGTTTTGTTAAAACGAAAGATAAGGTTGAAATGGTGTATATTCAGGCTTGTCGATAATATATACACCATTTCAAAAAAGCCAATATATACACAATAGATATTCTCTCTCTCCTCTCTCTCTCTCTCTATATATATATATATATATATATATATATATAACTTTTTTAAAAAGAAACAATATACAATGTATATTTTGTGCAAGTGAAATGACTTAATTAAAAAATATTTCTATAAAGTAGTACATGTACCATTTCTTACGTGCTGCCTTGGGTACTATCAATTTATCTTAATATTTACTATAGTACTTGAAAAAAAAACAAAGAGCTTTTATAAGGTCAAAAAAATATATAATTTTCAAAAACTTTTCATTGAAGTTTTGCTGTATATTTCTTATATAATTTCTTATATAATCCTAATTGACTATCCTTTGAATTGTGTACTTATGTTTTGAATTATATTGATATTTTTTTTACAAATAAAAAGAGAATGACAATTCTAAATTTTAAAAAATCATATATATGTTATATCAAGAGAGGAAACACATTTTAAAAGAACTTGTCGTCTTTACTTCATTGAGAACTGTTTAAATAATTGGTAAAAACAACTTTGAGATTTATTGATTGATTTTATACTGTTAAACGTCCATCTCCAGAATATTTCACTGATATGGAGACGTCACCATATGCACATTGCCGGTGAAGGGCTGCAAAGTTAGACCTATGCTCGGCTCTTACGGCCTTTGAGCAGGGAGGGATCTTTATCGTGCCACGCCTGCTATGACACAGGGCCTCGGTTTATACGGTCTTATCCGAAGGATCGCCCCATTTAGTCGCTTTTTACGATAAGCAAAGGGGTACTGAAGACCTATTCTAACCCGGATTCCCACGGGGTAAAAGAACTTTGAGAAAAAAAAAATAATGAGAAGAGCAATATAACAAAATATTGTTTCCATATACGATTGATTAACTAAATAATAAAGCATGAATATAAATATAAGGTAAAGGATGCAATTTTATTTTCTTTAGATAAATATTTGCACGCTATATTGTTTTTCTGAGTTGGGAGTTAAAAAGGTGAAAGGTCGACGATCGCTCAGGTTATTTTAAATTAAATGATACGTACTGTAAAATGGATGAATCTGTTATTCGAAGGCTGATCAATGTTTCATTCCAAGAAATCCATCCACGATCAGACCGCATCACTCTGTAATCATGGCACAATGCCAGAAAAGCTCCAGCAGCAAAACAGTGCCCTGCACAAAATCAAAAAACATTGACTACTTCATATTTCATTTATTTTCTATAAATAACTGTTGTTTCATCATTATTCACGGATAACCAATTTTCTTTTTTGAGTCCATCCACGAAGTCAAATATTCTATGAGATTTAGTGCTTCCATTTTGAGTTATGATAAAAAAAATTTTAAAAAGCCTCTTGCACTTGTAATTAATATATATCAAGAACCCTTCCCCCTTAACCCAACAGGTTGGATTTATAATTGTATTTTTTATACCCCCGCTCCGAAGGAGAGTGGGGTATACTGTTTCACCCTTGTGAGTCTTTCCGTCCGTCTGTCCGTCTAGCTGTCTGTCCGTCTGTTACAAATTTTCGTCAAAGTTTTCTCAGCAACAACTCATCTCAGATGCTTGACATTTAGATACAATCTTCTCTGAGGCATGCCATATCTTGGGATTCATTTTTGTTCAAATCTTATGTCAACTTCCTGTTTATTTGTGGGCCTGTCCGTCTCATATGTAACAAATTTTTGTTGCAGTTTTTTTCAGCAACTACTCATAGCAGATTCTTCAAATTTTAACACAATCTTCTCTGAGGCATGGCATATGGTAAGAATGATTTTGGTTCAAATCTATGACAAATCCTGTTTGTCCGTGCGTCTGTCCGTTCATACATGTTTCACACATAATAAATGTTTGTCACAGTTTTCAAAGCAAATTCTCATCGCAGATGCTATACATTTTAACACAATCTTCCATATGCTGGGATTTTTCTTCTTTAAATCCGATGTCAACTTCCTTTTTGTCTGTGCATCTGTCTATTTCAGACATGATTCATACATAACAATTTTTGGTCACAGTTTTCTCATTTACTACTCATCACAGATGCTTGACATTTTAGCACACTCTTTAATTAGGTTTGCTTTATAGTGGGATTCATTTTTGATCAGATCCGATGTCAACTTCCTGTTTGTTAGTGCATCTGTCCGTTTCATAAATGAACACATTTTCGTCACAGTTTCCCAGCAACTGTTCTCATAATAGATGCATGAAATTTTAGTACATACTTTGTTGAGGCATGTAGTATGGTGGAATTTATTTTTATATGAATCTGATGTCAAAATTCAATTTTCTGGTCATATACCCGTAACGTTTATTATCATGATTTGTATATTCACATCAAAGCGGGGGTATTAATAGTGAGCTTTGGCTCACAGATTTCTTGTTGTCATTATAGGAATACAATTACCTGGTAAATTTTCGTAGATATTTTTAGCAGTTTATAAATTTTGCACGGTGATTAAAAAACAAAACGCAACACTTCCTACGCGGTGCATATGCCAAGCAGGGGCATCATAATAACACAAACATGATTAATTATAAGGTGTTAATTCATTATTCGCAAACAATCTAACGGTCCAACTACTATAATCACCTGCACAATGACATTATAAATATTCGTAAAATACAAATGGGTAGAATTATAATTAATTACTCCCTCTTCATATCTCCTTAAATTATACAAATAATTAATAAACACAATTTAATGCTTATTTGACAAATATTTTTTGTTTATCATGAGAAGACGGGTATGTGTATTGCGGAAGTCCTGCAATATCGAAGAGCCTCAGGGCTTGTCGTCCATTAATTTGCAAGTTTTCAAATCGTTGGGTCGTATCAAGCAAGTGTTGAACTTCGGAAAACAAGGAGATTCAAGATGTTATCATCAAGCTGTATATGTGCAAGTAAGTCTCTTACGCATTGTATCAATTTTAGATGATTTTATGAGTTTGTACAAGCCTGGTGGCTTAACTTTTTCATTTCACATGCTGAATACATGTACCATAAAAGAGTAAAAATTAATTTTAAAAAAACATCATCAAGGATTGGAACCCAAGACCTCCTACACATCAAGCGAGTGATATAACCTATACCTCGGATGTCTTTAAGTAAAAATTTATGCAAACAATGGGTCAAAGACATGTGTATATTCATGTTTGATATTTGTCAAAATTTTACATCATACACAGTGTCTAAATTAGCTTTTACTGAACAGTTCTAATAGATGTAATACGACTACAAGAGGTGCATGGCCTCATTGAATACCTGGGTATCATCTAACGATTGAATATGGATGGTGTTTTAAACCACAGGCCATTAAATTAAAATTCACAATTTTGAAAGAGGCACCGTTGCTTATCATAACTATACAATGAGCATACTTACTATGGTTACTTAATACTCAGTATAAAAAAGCGAAAATGCTATACGCTTTATAACCAGTTGTGTACCCCAACCCACAAGAAACATTGACCCTGGGGCCTCAAATTTCAAAATTTTGTCGTAAATTTTATTTCATTATCAATGATGGATTAATGCCAAGAAGCAGATTTCAAATAATTTATTTTCAGACTATATACCCCACCCCCCATCCAGCCCCAGATTACCCCTGACAAAAGTGTATTGAAATTGACTATTTTGCAAGAGGCATTTTTCTTGATCATAAATATGTACTTAAATCATTTCATAATACCCAGAACAAGGGAACAGGTTTCAAAGAATTCATGCATATTCACTATTTAATTATTAGAGCCCCGTTTCAACACAAAAACCCCTGACCCAAGGTCCTGAATTTCACAAATCTGGAAAAGGCATCCTTCCTCATCATAACTATGTACAGTAGTTCATCGGTTTAATACCAAGGAATCATCCTCGAAACAGTGATTTTTACTAAATCCACGAAAATTGATATCCACGAAAATATTAATGAAACTACGGTTTTTTATTTATACAATTCATTAATTTTTACCAAAATAATTTTTGGGGCCTTAATTGAAATAATTATAAAACTTTTTTGAAACAATTTTTAAGTCGTCGAATCAGTATTTGAGAAAAACAATTGAAATACATCTACATGTACAAAGGAAGCAAGCTGCAAGGACAAATAACCTTTAATTCTTACCGTTAATGGAGGCCACAGTGGGAATCGGAAAGTGCATGATTCTCCAGAGGGTGTCGTGCAGGTCGGCGAGGAACTTCCTCCCAGCATCACTAGATCTCCCAATAGAGTTCACCCAATCAAGGTCAAGGCCGTTACTGTAAAATTTGCCCTCGCCTGTGGTCACCAATATCGAGGCAGATCTGTTCCTGTAGTTATAAAGTAAATGAAAAATAAGAGCATTTAAGCATGAAGTAAAGTTTTTTACTAAATAAAATGAACAGATAATTTATAAAAGCCGTTAAATTTATAAACGCCTATAAAGACATGAAAGAAAAGGGAGATTTTAAAAAATGTATGAAAAGCAAACCGAGATCTCGAATTATACAATCCATTCTCTCAGATGACAATCTGTTATAACGAATTACCGATTCGTTCTCACAAATTATGAATTCGTTCCCTTAAATTACACAATACCTTACATGTATCTCGGATTGTAATTTATGATAATTCTCTCCGTTTAAACATTCGTTCTCTCGGAATGCATATCATTTCAACGAAACGAAATAATTACTGATTATTCATCTGCGCATATTATATATATATATATATATATATATATATATATATATATATATATATATATATATATATATATATATATACTGAAAGGAAAAAGAAACGCAGGGTAAACTTTTGAGGTGAATTAAATTTGTTTTTCTTAGAATACTTTTTAGTTTTCCTATCTAATTTTTAAAATCATATTTCAAAAAGATATAACCAAATTCTCATATGATTTTGTGAAATTATTCATGAGTTATTGAAGCTCAAATGACGATACCCCCCAAAAGGGAAAATCGAAAACTCTCATTATCTTCAATGTCCATCCCGTGCATCTGTCAGAGTCTTATTTCTCCTTTGCATGGAATATCATTAGAGTGTTTATTTTTCAAACCCTAGCTATATTTAGCACGGGTAACCACGCAAAAAAATAAGTCAAACGGCGCGCGCATGCGCCAGTGAGAGGAATACAACAGTAAGTTGACTGGCTCAAAAAACCAAATTGCGGAATTGTTTTCTTTCAAATTTCGTATGAATGTAATGATTATAATCGTGTACACTATTAATGGCTGTTTTTGTGGTAGTAAGGTGGCGGCTTAAGAGATGGCAGGACGAATTACCCGCTCGTAGCATGGCTCTGTTTCGCGATAACGTCATCGTCACGGTTGATTGAAATCCACTCCATACCCTCTCTGACAACGGCTAAAAGGTTTTTTGGGGGAAAATTTACAAGAGACTGCTTAGTAAACCGTTGTTGCCTTTTTCATTAATTAGGCAATTCGAAAACAAGACCCCATTGAACTTCCGTGAACTGTGCCAAGATTGCAATAAATTCACAAAGTCTCTTAATATTGAAAAACGATGTGCATACCTCATATGCATAAAATAATGCAACAAGATTTGTGGACAAACACGTCGTTATCAAATTGCACGTGTTTTGGGCTTTTTAGCGTTTTCCATTGACGTCATGAATTTTACGGTTGATAATTCTGTACTGATTTTGATGCACAGTAACTTAATTTCATCTGAACAATTGTCGTAATTTTCGGTCATGTGGTCAAATTTTTATACATTAATGCTACCCTGCGTTTCTTTTTCCTTTCAGTATATATATATATATATATATATATATATATATATATATATATATATATATATATATATATATATATATATATATATACGTTATTTATGAATAGAATGTAGAGTAGTATACATCCAACCTTTTATTACATATTACAGTCGAAAATGAGAAAATTACATTAACATTTTTCAAATTCATTAACTAGTATTGATATTTGTATATGTACTACACAAAAGTCTTGTATAATTATTTCTTTTTTTTCTAAAATAAATCTTATTGACTGAATTAAAAAAAATACAGAACGCCTGGTTGCTGAAGCAAAGGATTAAAATCGGTGGGGCTGAATAGTTTTATTCGAGATCTCGACTTATTAATCTGTGAAAACGAATTGTGTAATTCGAGATATCGATTTAAAAATCGGAGGAAAGAATTAGTACACTGTTAAAGCGAATTATGCAATTCGAGATCTCCAATTATAATTTGAGGGAAGGATCGATCGACTTTATAATCGACGGATTGTGTTTTTTTAAATTTGATTTTTTATTTTGTAAAGAGAAATGAAAATCAACGTTTTCATTTTAGATTTTTTATTTATTTAACATTAGTTTCTAAAGATATGAATATGAATTCTTATGAATAACGAAATGTATCTTATTGTTATTAATATGATTTTAATGAGCATGAAATGACGGGAGTATATATACTCATCAGCACTGATATATGGTATTGATGCACCATAGAACACAAAAACGTTCTATTTTCTGACCTTCTATATTTTGTGGCCAGAGCTCCCGATTTATGTAAATTTTCAATAGGTCAAATTATTATCACGTAGAAAGCTGAATGTTAAAAACTTGTTGTTCAATATCAAATGTTGCTGTAGTCTTTAAAAATATAATACAAGCCTTTCCACCTCGTCCAGTGCGTTATTGAGCTGATTCAATGTCGTCAAGTTCCAGCGATTTTGTCCATTCTTCATTCTGATAAGGGCACATCCATCGTCATGAAATTCTACCGTTATCCCCATCTTTAACTTTCAGTATTATACCTGGGTGTAAGGTCTGCTCAGTTTATTTTGATTGTTATCACATTGACCCCGGTGTATGGAAGCGGAGTACAAGATAAATTCAATGATTACATTTAAAAACATCTCAATAGTAATTGTCTAAGTAACGCCAGGAGAAAAACAACAGTATGTTAATGATTAAGTCGTAAAAAATGTTCCACCAACTTGCATGTGCAATAATATGTATAATGTTAACGGAAAACCGTTTAAACGTTTGGAGGACAATAACCCAGATAGCAAGACTATGTTGGGCCAACATTGACAAAAGGTTGTATGGTTGGCGTTGGGGGAACAACGTTCGGCCAACGTTGGCCATGGACCAATGTCACCATACCAACCTTCTCGACCATGACAGAATTCCTATGTTGGCCCAGCGTTGGTCCAACGTTAGCAACTTCCATTCACTTTACTTCCCAAGGAAGGAGGGATGTTGATGTTGGCCCAACGTTGGCCCACTGTTTGTAATATACCATTAAAGAAAGTGTTTTTAAAAGTTGGTAGTAGTATGTTTGCCCAACGTTGGCCCGTTGTTTGTAATACACTCTTAAAGAAAGTATCTTTTAAAGTTGGTAGAAGTATGTTGGGCCAACGTTGGCCCGATGTTTGTAATCACACCCTTGAAGAAAGTGTCTTATCAAGTTGGTAGTAGTATGTTGGCCCGACGTTGGCCCGATGTTAGCACGAGCGTTCTTTTGTTTAGGTGTTTCAAAGATGGGATATTTATATCGGGCCAACGCTGGCCCAATTATTATACTGCCAACTTAATGATGGTGTCATGTTTAGCTGCCGAGTTTTACGTTGGGACAACATTGGTTATAATTAAGTTTTTTGAATTATATGCACATTCTGAAATAATTAGGAGGACATTCTATGTCCATGCTTTTAATCGGATGACTGTTTTTTGTTTAGATCCTATATTTTCAATATTTTAACTTTAAACTTAAGTGATCACAGCACCAAAGAGTGTTTCATTATATTGAATGAATTGTGCAGATGCATGCTTATTTATTTGAAATAAAACCCTTGAAATAATGAATTTTTTCATGGGCGTTGTATTCATGAGAATTTAGAGAAGACTGAATAAGTTCCCAGGAACAGGATGTGAATGAAGCCTACGTATACATAAATCAAAATGACACAGCTTTATAGAAAGTGGCAGAGGATAGTTTTTTTTGCAATCAAAACGTTTGACTGACGGTTTACTTAATATTGAGCTGCTTTAAAAATGTTCATTGAAAAATTTTAAATTCCCTCTACATGTAATAATAGTATGATGTAGTCCCTTGAGAAATTTGAAGCTTTTAGGAATAAAACATGTACAACCTACACAATGAGCCCTAAAGATGGCGCGTGGACAATCTCAAAATTTCATATGAATCAAGCCTATTTTCACTATTTCGCCGCAGCCGCATCTGCTTCCAGGCCCGTGCGCCTGACCTATGCTACCACACAAATTGCAGAATAACATTTGTACATACCAATGAACAGCAAGAGATAATGGCTCAACCACCTCGTTTTCAAGCTACAAATCATCCTGTGAACCCACCCCGCTTTTCTGGTGAAATACCGGTAGAGCGAGTTTTGAGCTTAGTTTCGTATTTCTAGTCCATATCCCATATACAGTAGTAGTGACACTAAAGTGTCATATTTCAATAAAATACACAAGGCCACTAATTCCCTCCAATTGCACCCATAAAATATTCTAGCTATAAAATTACCTATAATATGCATTCAAACCTCAGGTTTCTCTATTTTTTCTATTTTTTGACCGGTACTTTATTCGAAACTATCCTCTGCCACCTTAAACTTTCAAAGTTTGTCTTGCAAGTAATAAACCTTGCTCAATTCAAAAAGAACAGTCAATTCTGAGTAAAAATATACCAAATATGTCTTGATTCATTGAAAAATAAAAAAGTTATGGCCAAATAAGAGACCTCACCAATTCTCGGTCAACCACCTTAACCCCATATTGTTTCTTACACATAAAACAAATGCAATTCTTACAACTCCAGATGATAAATATACCAGCCAAAAAGTGTTAAATGGTAATTTTAATCTATTTCAAATACATTTATATGTAAAAAGTCAAATATAAAGGGCACATCTTGGTGAAATGTACTCACATGTATCACATACTCCCCTATTTTTCATGTTCTATGAAATTCCATTTTATCTCTTTTTCACTTGGTTTTATATACCTATAACTTCTTTGCAAAGTTAAAACCCCTTTCAACTTTCAAGATATTTATCATGATATACAAAAAACCCTCTTGCATCATATGCTAAAGAAAAAGTGTCCAGGAAATGGCTGTTCAACACCCTACCCCTGCAGCCATTTCTGCAGTGTAATGAAAATGCACTGTAAAAATTTGTTTGTCCTAGCTGAATTCTTTCTAAGTGTCTGATATTCACTTTTAACAGTTATGAGTAATAAAATACATACATTTCATTCTCCTGAATACTAAAAGTGACTATTCTCTCCATCCTGGGCAATTGTGGGCAGATTATATGGGCCAAGCAGAATTCAATAATTACATGATAATGCACATTTTATTGATATTACTTCATTAAATATGCAATATAAACTCTTTGTTTTGTTATTATTCAAAGAAAAATAGTCATTTTATAGCAAACTATTCAAAAATTTAGATTCTGTCAAATTTAAATACAGATAAATTTAAAAATTGAAAAGGGGGGGGCATATTTCATGAAGATATTAATGACAGAATGGGTTAAATTTGGAAAAATAAAGTTAAAAAAAGTTTTTTTGTACTATATATGGTTAGGTTTAGTGACATTTAGGTATTCTGACTGATTATTATTTTCAAAATAATAATATTTAGTAAATTAGGTTGAAAAAATGACAAATATATGTAATTTCAGTGATATCGCACTAATTAATACACTTAAATTTTAATAAGATTTAATTAATTAAAGCAAGATATGATTTCAGTTATGCGACAATACCCAAAGTATCAAATTCAAACAAGTAATTTATTCTCTGGCAAAAAATGCCTGAATCTTATATGATTTATTATGCAGATGGTTCAAAGTCTTTAAAAATGTATGCTGGAAAAGAGTAACCCCCCTTGCTTTTTAGTGAATATACCTAACTGTACAGATTTTAAATAACAGAAACAAAGTATTTTTTAAATTGACTTACATAAATAAACCTTTTTGTATAAAAATCAGACTAAAATTCACATTTCTAAAAATTGATGCATTCTTGAAGGTGGCAGAGGATAGTTCTTTTTGCAATCAAAACGTTTGACTGACGGTTTACTTAATATTGAGCTGCTTTAAAAATGTTCATTGAAAAATTTTAAATTCCCTCTACATGTAATAATAGTATGATGTAGTCCCTTGAGAAATTTGAAGCTTTTAGGAATAAAACATGTACAACCTACACAATGAGCCCTAAAGATGGCGCAGAGACAATCTCAAAATTTCATATGAATCAAGCCTATTTTCACTATTTCGCCGCAGCCGCATCTGCTTCCAGGCCCGTGCGCCTGACCTATGCTACCACACAAATTGCAGAATAACATTTGTACATACCAATGAACAGCAAGAGATAATGGCTCAACCACCTCGTTTTCAAGCTACAAATCATCCTGTGAACCCACCCCGCTTTTCTGGTGAAATACCGGTAGAGCGAGTTTTGAGCTTATTTTCGTATTTCTAGTCCATATCCCATATACAGTAGTAGTGACACTAAAGTGTCATATTTCAATAAAATACACAAGGCCACTAATTCCCTCCAATTGCACCCATAAAATATTCTAGCTATAAAATTACCTATAATATGCATTCAAACCTCAGGTTTCTCTATTTTTTCTATTTTTTGACCGGTACTTTATTCGAAACTATCCTCTGCCACCATAATTAAATTGAAACAAAAGTTAGGCGTTCGCTAAAGAATGGAGAGTCGCGCGGGAATCAAATTACACCAAACTGTGGAGTGAGCTGTCAGATTCCATTGCTCACATGTGATGATACGTGTAGACTGAAAATGCAGGGCAAGAAAGAAGTGAAATTAGACACTTGCTATAGCTGCATTTAGAAGCGATGTAAGTATATTTATTCTTATTTTTTCAGGTTAACTGTTAAAATTGATTCAGAATTCATTCTTTTCATGTTTTTGCACACAAACACTGTAAGTTAAGGTTAAATAACATATTTTAAGTTGTCTCTCTCTAATTCTTAACCGTCTATTACAGACACGATTGTAACAAGGTGTACTAATAGTATATTACATATGTACATCATTCTCTGAATTAAAAAATTTAATTGAAGTAATATTCATAAATAAGTTGGACAAGTAATTGTACTGTTTCTAATATCAAACTATTTTGTATTTTCAGTCAGAGACTGCAAGGAAAACAAATGTTGTGGCGGTACATGTAAATAACAATGAAATCGAAGACCATGCATAAAGAAGTGTATAAAGTACGAGAACGTATGACAAAGATCAAGATAAAGAAAACGGGAGGCGACGAAGGGACGGAAAAAGAGCGGGAATACAACAAAAGGACAGTAATAAAGGAAATGAGCCCTGATTAAGAATTTTGATTTGACTACATTGCGCCTCGGTTCACAATGTTTTTCTTGGGGCGGAAATTTTCAATGTTACACTCAACATTATGCAATATTTACATAGTGTTGTGGCAAGCTCAAAATCCTTAAAACAGTACAATTTTAGAGCAAACAATTACGGATCTCCAAAATGTCAGAAATTGGTAATGGTGCCATATAGGAGTAAGCATCCACTTTTGACCTGACTTGTCAGAGCCCCCATGCTCTTCTTGCTGTGACCGAAAAATAACCGAAAACTCTTCGAAAATGAGGTGTATAAATAATGCTCTCTCAATTAGTATAAAAAACGTCAATGGGCATTTACTTAATCCAATGACGTACATGATTAAAGATATGCTTTAGAGATAAAGAAAGAAGGGATGTGCTCCTTTGCATCTATATCTAATGACAACAATTATAATGCACATTTTAGTTAAAAATATAAATAACGTAATTATCAATTATTTACAAGAAATAACAAATAAAAAT